CGAGCAGCAACCTAATCCACAGAAGGGTTAATGCTGAGCAGCAATTATGCAAATGAAACCTGGTAACTGACTTTGGGGTCAAAGGCCGGTTACAGCCTATCAGAACTAAAGGAGGGGTATTTAGGCCCAGTTCTCAGCCTGCTCAGTGCCCTGTCGTGGTTTCCCTTGTGGTTGTCTGAGAGCGCGTTCCTGTTTATAGTTTTCTACCTGGTTTTTGACTTTGGCTTTGTTTATTGACTTCTCTATATTCTGGTATCCTGACTCCTGGCTTTCCTCATCGCTGTGTCCCTTTCTGTGTTCCCTGACCTCGGCTAGTATTTTTGACTATTCTTTGTATGTTAAATCCGGCCATTCTAAGGACCGGTAATACGTTACTTATTTGTCATCCGTGCTGTACAGTTCTACGTGCTGGATCAAACAGTAATCCTGACAGTAAGGAAGAATGGAAATTGCGAAGACTTCTTAGGAGCACCTCTTAGGCCACTAACAACCCAGGGTCGACCACTTTGTGGGAAGGAGGTTGGTATAGTGCATTGTTCAAAGAAATAGGCTCGGCAAGTATAAGAGCCTTGGTTCTGTCTAAAAGAACTTCTGTTTGTTTAGCCGGACAAAGGAGCCCAATTCTTTTACAAAGTTGTCCCCAAAGAGAAAACCTTTTGCCTGTGTTATCTGGCTCGTTCAGAGCCATGGTTTAACGTTTTGGCTCAATCTTGAGCAAGATCGATTTGTGGCATTCTGTGACAACCGCGTTGCCAACTTAAATCACTCTCTGGATCTAACCACTTAAGATGGCGCAATCTAATTCTAGATCTACTGCTTCAAAGATCTTGGCTGCTGAGCCCAAGATGCCCAGGATTTTATCACAACAGTTTTGCAATGAAAATCTAAGCCTTTAGATGGCTTCCATCCTGTCTTACTCAGGAATTGAATGATCTTAGGATCGACTGATACCGTTTTACATGAGTCATAAGGGACTGGCCATTCAGCCCGCAATTTATTTCATTTTGCCTTCTCAAAAGGCTTGCGTACTCTGGATGCAATATACTTGGCTACATGGTCTGAGGAGACCACTGTGTGACATAGGTCGTCAGGTTCGAATAGGGGTTCACATTGAGTGTTCAAGATCCTATCGGTGTCCCTGAGTCCATCTCTATTGTTTTGGAGGAGCGTTTAGCCTTAAATGAGGCCTTGCGGGCAGGCTGAAGCAGAGCAGGTGTGAGTACAGATACACCTCCATATAGTACTCATGGAACTTCTCCTCAATATCCCTGAGCTCAGATTTAAAGTTCAATTGGGCTTTTTCCCTTTTTCAAAGTCTAGTAGATTTTGCCCGACAAGTAGCTCTTTTGCACGGTGGTAAATTAATAGCGCCATCCGTGACAGGTATGGTACTGTCCATCTCTATTGTTTTGGAGGAGTGTTTAGCCTTATATGAGGCATTGCGGCCTGACACCAGGGCCTTGTCATTGCTTTTGCCATGGAAGTGTCAATTAAAGCCTGCATGTCAGCAGGATCAGTAAAGCAGAAATTCAGCCTCATCTCCAGAGATACCTGGAGAGGCTTCTACATCAATCTGCATGTTTGCTGTAGACCCAAAAGGCACAGAAAGATCCTGTCAGACTGCATCATAAATTTACAAACAAACCTAAGGAGATGAATAAAGTAAAATAATACCAAAAGGAAAGGGTTGAGTAACCCTCAAGTACAAAATAAATAAATAACTAACTAAACAGGATAAAGAAATGAGTACTCACAATAGTGAAAAAAAAGCAATTGTAATATAAAGACACAGGAGCTGCCCGGCTGCCACTGTAACTAAACCCCAACTTGGATTTCTGGCAGTTGGTGGCAGAGCAGCAGCCACTAAGATAAATGAAGGGAAAAAACAGCGCGATAGCCCTGTGCGGGGGATAAAGATCCTCAAAGACGCCCCTGAGCCCCAATTGATGGTAAACTTGGGGCCAGGGAGGTCAGAAAGAAATTATCAAAGGATATACAATAAAGCATATAACTGAAGCAAATGAAGTAAATAAAACAAGTTAAGTTAAAATGAAGTAACTAAATATATTAATAAATATGAAAATATTATAATTAAAATGTAAAAACTATAATAACTATATTAACCGCAGTAATGATATGAGGGAGCAGCAAAGAAAGAGGAAGTAGTATACTGAACACTGCCTATTATGCTATAAAGAGGATGCTGATTGGCTGTTCCTGTTGCTAGGAAGATATATCTCATGTTATTTACTGGTTTCTTTTATACTGATTTAATGTTATTTTTCTTTGCTGCTGAGGTAAATAAAGAAAGAGTGCAGCATAATAGGACCCTCTGTGTCTTAATAAAATTAAATAAATGTAAGTACAAGTGAAATGACATGCTTCTTCTGTGTTTTATTTATTTTATATATGTCCTTTCTACCTAATCATGTAAAATGTTGTTTTGTTTTTTCCCAGATAGTCAACCTTGAATTGAAAAAAAAAAGTTAAAAATTGAGCTACGCATGTTTATAAGAATGTTAGCTGTTTAATGCAAATCAGCATATGTGACTTGAGAAAGTTTTCTTGCAAAAACAAAAGGTATAGAAGAAATAGATAAGATGCCCTGAACATGTGCTCTTTCTAAAGAATAAAACAGTTGGAAACCAACATAATTTATGGTAAATCGCTATATTGACCTACTTAATTTTTCCCAGCATTCAAGGCTGTGTAAACAGGGTAATTAAACATGCCTATGTAATACATTTTGATGATAGCGTCTCTTTAAACACTGGCTTGTTGTTGCATTTTATTTCTGTTTATGAACTACAGCTGGAAATATTTTCCACTGGTATTGCACATGCATATATTTAACAAACTATGGTATACATTATAAAGGTCAGGTATGTATAAGTAATTTATCTGCATGTTTGCACTGTCTGCTTTCTCAAAACTATTCTTAGATTCCATGTGAGTAATACTAATACTGGGGTCTACTTGCATTATGTCTTTATAGGTGATGCACTGTTAGACTGTAACAGGGCTACTCATAAAAGGGAGAATTGTCAGGAATTCCGACAATTTTCGACTCTGTAAATGTTTCTCCCCAAGGCTGTTCAATGTCCTTATTGATTTTCCTAATCCATGCAATTGTATTTTTTTCATTACATTATTCTGACACATTATATGTTGCTACAGCCATGGTATTTTATGAATGGCAGAAATGACATAGGTAAATTATTGGCAGGTCTGAGATCAGGAGATGGACGGGTGGAGGTTGGGTAGGCATGTGGGTCGTATCAGAGTTGCAATTAGCATCACCAATGACATGTCGGCTGGTAAAGGGAGCATTTTATCTTGGGAAGTATGGGTACTGGGATGAAAGGATATCTAGCACGACAACCAATCAGGACTTCCCCCCATACAGTGCTGCTGAAGCATTCACATATCAGCTCATGTATCCTATGTTTCATTTTAAGTGCAATGTGAGCTTGTTTAAAGAGAGACAATCTGTTGGTAATTGGAAGGACTGCTTGGAACTCGCGAAGAGATCGTGTGACTTGATGAGTCTGCATCACTGTGATATGTTGTAAAGTCTAAAACAAGCAATTAAATGCCAGATGTACCTTTCACATTACATCATTGGTTTACGACGATTTCTCTTGTAAGCTGCATTACTGTGTGATGTGAGAAGCACGCTCAGACTGCTTTCTACAGTCCCTATAACCCAATGGTCATTCCCAGCGCTTTACTCTACAACACTTATTACAACAAGAAAAAAGGCTGAGCAGTCTTGTCATACAGAGCCGTATATCTCTTGAAAGAACTTGCATATCTTCCACCAGTTTGAAATCTACAATATTAAAAATGAATATGTCTGTTTGCAACCTCACCGATGGTTGCTTGAGAGTGCACACACAACTACTGCTTAGAAATAAATAATGCAGCCCAACACTGTGGCTCAAAGGTCTTACTTCGGGGCAGTTCAGTGCTTAATACTATACTTTTGATGGAATTTTGAGCCTTAAGTGTTCATTTATATTAGTAGTTGTCAACATGCTCTGAATTATATTTGCACATGTGTGACTAATATAAACATCTGACCTAAGGAAAACATATAAATGGGCCACTAAATCTTCCCATATGGCTGCCCTACATATCTCCTCCATAGGTACTACCTTTACAGATGCGCAAGAGGCTGCCACAGATCTTACTGAATGGGCCTACTGGAGCTGTTTTTCCAATAGAAGAGTAGACTTTAGATATAAAAATCCACCCCCTTAACTTAGCATAGAAGCAAGTTCACCTCTTCTAGTGCCTAAGACAAAAAGCTTGTTAGAATTTTGTAAAGTCTTGGTTGTACTTAAATAAGTGTGGCGACATCTCCTAATGTGCAATTTGTTCCATATCTGCTCTTCTAGAAAAGAAGGTCCGTAACAAATGTCGGCAGAGAAATTTGTTAAATGTGAAAATTCGAGACTACTGTGGGAAGAAAATCAAAAGATGGTTTAAGAATTACACCATCCTGATAGATGACTGTATAAGATTCCTTAGTGGACAAGGCTTGCAGTTTGGAAATTCTTCTGGCAGATGCAATAGCCACCAACAAGATGGTTTTTAAAGTCAAAAGATAATCTGAGATATCTTCCAGGGGTTCAAAATGCTGATCAGTCAGTGCTTCACGTATGAGAGGAAGATCCCAAGGAGAAGAAAGGGATCTAACAGGGGGCTTAATCTGCCAAATAGCACTCATGAATCTTGCCACTAGAGGGTCCAGAGTCCACCTAGAGCTGCTTGAACTTTAAGGGAGTCTGGACTTAGGCCCTTGTCCGAAAAAATCCAGAATATCAACACAGGGAAAGGAAGAAAACCCTCTCTTTATTTCTTTCAGACCATTCTTAAAATATATCTCTGATACAACAATAACAATTAGAAGTAGAAATCATTCTAGCCTTGAGAAGCCTATCTGCTACTCCTTGAGAAATTCCCGATTTTACTAATAATACCCTTTCAAAAGCCATGTCGAGTTCAGAAACTGCATGGATGGATGGACCACCGGACTCTGAAGGAGATCCCAAAGTTCTGGAAGAATCTAGACTCATAAGAAAACGAAGGTATTCTTGACTACAATGTTATGGATGCAATAACTTTGTTCCAAAGATTGGAAATTCTTTTGTACAATGAATTAGGGGCTTTCGGGAAAATACGTAACCCAGATCGAATGTCCAGGATTGTGTAAGGGCATTCTGAGCTTCTGCTTGTAGATTGAGACTGCGGGAGAAGAATATTGGGAACCGAGTAAGTGGATTAATCTCATAAGAGCATGTTTAATTTGCTAGGATAGGACATGTCTAAATGGGGTACATTGGTGTTGTGGCAGGCTTATTCAATGTATGATCATATACTGTAACTAAACCCTACATACATATAAATACAAACTTTTAAGGGATATACCTGTAACAATAACTTCTATGAATACCAAGCATACATTAGCACTGTCTTTGCATTATACCTTGAACAGTCATCAACAAGGACAATCTTTAATCAATAAAATAATGTCATAGATCGCTTAGAAACAGGGCCGAATTGCTTTATAATTCTCAGTACATTTGTAAAACTATGCTATTAAACAGATAACCAATTCACCAAATCCACAATTATTAAATATAATATCAGAACAACCAACAATATCAATATGCTTAAAGGACCACTATAGGCACCCAGACCACTTCAGCTTAATGAAGTGGTCTGGGTGCCAGGTCCAGTTAGGATTAACCCTTTCTTCTATAAACATAGCAGTTTCAGAGAAACTGCAATGTTTATAATAGGGTTAATCCAGCCTCTAGTGGCGGTCTCATTGACAGCCGCTAGAGGCGCTTCCGCGCTTCTCACTGTGATTTTCACAGTGAGAAGACGCCAGCGCCCATTAAGAATGCTTTCCTATGGACTGGCTGAATGGTGCGTGGCTCATGCCGCGCATGCGCATTCAGCTGATGACGACGAGAAGGAGGAGGAGAGTCCCCTGCCCAGTGCTGGAAAAGGAGGTAAATTTAACCCCTTCCACCCCCTAGAACACGGCAGGAGGGGGGGCCCTGAGGGTGGGGGGGACCTAGAAACCCTATAGAGCCAGGAAAATGAGTATGTTTTCCTGGCACTGTAGTGGTCCTTTAAATAGAAAATTACTAACACGCAAAAGTCTGCTAAATATCAATAAACATACAACACCAAAGTACACACCAATTCTTAATGGGAACAAAAATAATTACGGCAAAAGAAAAATGACTTCATATTCATTATATCATATGCTAATTAGGCATGATAAGTTCCATTTATTTTAGATAGTACATCAGTCAAACATTTTTCATCTACCATCTAAAATTAGTTTATATTATATCACAGTTATGATAAGTTGCTATAGTGCTATAAAGTTACATACATACATATATATATATATATGTATATATATATATATATATATATATAAGAAAACCGAGATGCTTACACTCCTGGATTAGAGAGTAATTGCCCGGTGCTGGTCAGACACAGGATACAAAAAAATGATTGGAAATGACCGCACTTCAAGGACTTGATGATAGTAAAGATTAAATACAACTTTTATTCTATATAATTTAAAAATATTAACGTTTCAGCCCTAATACATGGGCTTTCATCAGGAAGGCAATAAAAAAATTATATTTATATTTTATTTTTACTATCATCAAGTCCTTGGAGTGCGGTCATTTCCAATAATTTTTTTATATATATATATATACATACAGTGAGGGAAAAAAGTATTTGATCATCTGCTGATTTTGAACATTTGTCCACTGACAGCAAATGATCAGTCTATCATTTTATGGTAGGTGTATTTTAATAGCGAGAGACAGAATAAAAAAAAAAAATAATAATATAAATCCAGAAAAATGTATGTCAAAAAAGTTATAAATTGATTTGCATGTCAATGAGTGAAATAAGTATTGATCCCCTATCAATCATGTTCTATCATTGTTATTCCTGGCTTTGTCTGCAGCACTAGGGGGCTGGACTCCATCTGTGGCTGATACCTGTGCTTCACCTGAGGCAGATCACTAATTAACCGGGTATTTAAACACTACCTTGACCTGTGAACTTGGTTAGTTCTTTGATTCTGGTGATCATGTGTTGTTCCTGTTTTTTCTCCTGAACTAGCTCTCCATATTGACCCTGGCTCCTGACCTTGGCTTCCCTCCTTGTTTATCCTGACCTCTGGCATCCTCTGACTTTGGCTTATCCTCAACAATCCTTCTGCTTGTGTCCTTGTCTGTACTGCGAATTGGAGCATCTTTCATGCACAGCCTCTGGGCACAGATTCACAGTCCTGGTGGTTTCTAACCTCATCACCTTGGACTATGTTTATCTGCAAGGGTGAGCACACATCTCTGCCTACAGGACACAGGTAAGACCCTGATAGAATGCTGCCTATGACCCCAAGAACACCATCCCCACCATGAAACATGGAGGTGGAAACATTATGCTTCAACTGTGTTTTTCTGCTAATGGGACAGGTAAAACTGCACCACATCAAAGATATAATGGACAAGGCCATGTACTGTCAAATCTTGGGTGAGAACCTCCTTCCCTCAGCCAGGGCATTAAAAATGGGTCATGCATGGGTATTCCGGCATGACAATGACCCAAAAGACACAGCCAAGGCAACAAAGGAGTCGTTCAAGAAGAAGCACATTAAGGTACTAGAGTGGCCAGCCAGTCTCCAGACCTTAATCCAATAGAAAATCTGTGGAGGGAGCTGAAGGTTTGAGTTGCCAAACGTCAGCTTTCGAAACCATAATGACTTGGAGAGGATCTGCAAAGAGGAGTGGGATAAAATCCCTCCTGAGATGTGTGCAAACCTGGTGCCCAACTAAAAGAAACGTCTGACCTCTGTGATTGCCATCAAGGGTTTTGACAGCAAGTATTAAGTCGAAGGGGTCAAATACTTATTTCACTCAATAACATGCAAATCAAGTTATAACTTTTTTGAAATATGTTTTTTCTGTATTTTATTTGGTTTCTGTCTCTCACTGTTAAAATAAACATAACATTAAATTTATAGACTGATCATTTCTTTGTCAGTGGGCAAACGTTCAAAATCAGCAGAGTATCAAATACTCTTTTACCTCACTGTACATCTTGCAAATACACACAAATGTGCACTCCCAGACACACATACAAACATAGACTATCAAAAACGCACCCCAAGTACACACAGATACTACGTTTTTCCCCAAACTTGAAATTCTCCTGCTAACAGGGGAGTGTGGCTTCAATGCTGGAGTCCTCTGGAGCCTACTAAATCTACTTAGGGGGAAGTGCCATCCCCACAAATATTGGCACGTAGCTTCTACTACAGGGATACAGGGCTCTGAAAACGGTGAGCACTTTACTTATTCTCCCCACTGCACCAATTGAGACAGACTGCACATTTGTTCCCTTCTCTCTATGTTTTATCTTTGAGATACATCATATCATGGATTGCAGGTGTGATGTTGCCTTAAAAGCATATAAGGCTGGTTATGGAGCCAGTGTTCACATACATGCTCCTTTAAAAATGAGTGCTCCACTTCACGACCATTTTATCTGATTTTATTTTTATGTTCCATCTGCACTATATAGCCTTTTCTATTTTTTTCACATGTACTGCATACTAAGCTTGCTATCAAGTTATACTGGACAATTTTAGTCTAGGTTTTGACTATCTATTGTGCAAGATAATGCATCATAGGCTTAAAGGACCACTCTAGGCACCCAGACCACTTCAGCTTAATGAAGTGGTCTGGGTGCCAGGTCCAGCTATGGTAAACCCATTTTTTTATAAACATAGCAGTTTCAGAGAAAGTGCTATGTTTATATATGGGTTAAGCCTTCCTCCAAAGCCTCTAGCGGCTGTCTTATTGACAGCCGCTAGAGGCGCTTGCGTGCTTCTCACTGTGAAAATCACAGTGAGAGCACGCAAGTGTCCATAGGAAATAATTGATAATGCTTTCCTATGCGACCGGCTGAATGCGTGCGCAGCTCTTGCCGCGCGTGCGCATTCAGCCGAGTGGCGGAGAAGAGGAGGATCGGAAGAGGAGAGCTCCCGGCCCAGCGCTGGAAAAAGGTTAGTTTTTACCCCTTTCCCCTTTCCAGAGCCGGGCGGGAGGGGGACCCTAAGGGTGGGGGCACCCTCAGGGCACTATAGTGCCAGGAAAATGAGTATGTCCTTTAAAAGAACATAGAATATTTGATACAGTCCTAACCTCAACATTTGACAAAAGGGATTTAGGGGTGATTATTTCAGATGGCTTAGGTAGAGCAGCAGGACATGCTAGCAGAATGCTTGGTTGTATAGGGAGTTGTATTAGCAGTAGAAAGAGGGAAGTGCTCAGGCCAGTGTACAGAACACTGGTGAGACCTCACTTAGAGTATTGTACTGTAAACAGACTACCCACAATGAATATATTTGCAGCCAAGCGAGCTGCGAGTTTGACATGTTAAGGCATAGTAGGCACCTGCTCTCCCCACATTGCAGGTGCCTTCTCTACTAAAATTTAACTGGCCAGGTGAAGAGGAAAGAGGATGCAGCGAGGGAGCTCGGTCTTTTTGCTCCTCACTGCTCTTTTGTGCACGCCCTCTGTAGTGATGTTGGGTGCCGGAGTATGACGTCATTCTAGCCCGGCATCACTAAACTGCACGTGTGGAGCAGGAAGGGAGACACCACACCAGCTCCCAAAGGGAGGGAGCAACACACTGATTTGTGAGTGAACAAGAATGTGTAAATGTGTGTGTCTGTGAGTGTGAGTCTCTGTCTGTGAGTGTGTGTCTGTCTGTCAGTGAATGCGTGTGTGTGTTGGTTAGTGTTGCAATGGCCGTGGCTGGACAGTGGAGGACCTGGATGCGCACTGAGGCACGCAACGCCACTTCGCTTTTTTTTTTTTTTTAAAACAGGGGCTGGAATTTAGTATAGAAGGGGAGAATGGGGTTTAGTAGAGGAGGGTGCTGGGTTTCAACTGTACTTTTCCAAATAAACCTACGTTTCTATGAAGATGTTAGTTTTGTTTTTGCGGCCCACATAAACTTAAACTTTGTATATTTGGCCCGTGCAAGCCTTTGAGTTTGACATGCTTGTTGTAGGCAGTACTGGAGACCGTATCTACAGAAGAATATTGATACTTTCAAAAGAGTTCAGAAGGGCTACAAAACAGGTTCATGGATTGCAAGGTAAAACGTACCAGGAAAGGTCAAAGAATATTAACATGTATAGCTTGGAGGAAAGACGAGACAGGGGGGATAGGATAGAAACATTTAAATACATAAAGGGAATCAACACAGTAAAGGAGAAGACTTTATTTAAAAGGAGAAAAACCACCACAACAAAAGGACATAGTCTTAAATTAGAAGGGCGAAGGTTTAAAAATAACACCAGGAAGTATTACTTTACTGAGAGGGTAGTGGATACATGGAATAGCCTTCCAGCTGATGTGGTAGAGGTTAACACAGTGAAGGAGTTTAAGCATGCGTGGGATAGGCATAAGGCTATCCTAACTATAACATAACTAAGATAACTAATATAGCTATAAGATAAGACTAAGGACTAATGAAAGTATTTAGAAAATTGGGCAGACTAGATGGGCCAAATGGTTCTTATCTGCTGTCACATTCTATGTTTCTAACTATCTAGTAGTCCATCTTACTGTCTATTATGTTTTAGATTTTTAGATTTTTCAGTCTCTGTGTAAGTACGTTGGATCAGATTCCTATTACTTAGATGGCAGTGAACAAACAATTGAAAGTTGCACAGTGCATTCCATTACCCCAGTAACCTTTCTTAAGGACAATGATTATGCTATAAAATTTAACATACAGGATACAACAAGCATGTTTTGCTTGGCTGACTGCTTGACCTCAATATACCACTGAATGCATTTAAAAAAAATAAAAAAATAGAACAGTCAGCTAAACAAACAACACATTTCAGTTATTTTCTATGTAGTTCAGGCCTTCAACAACGTCGATATAAGTGACCACATGTAGACAAGCAGGGTAATTTACTAAAGTGAGAATTCAAAGTAAATTTCTAATTTAAGGTCAAAGTATGTGGAAGCATAGCTGCCTTGGAGAATAGGTTGTTGTGGACTTAAATGTGAAATTCACTTTGAATTTTCACTTTAGTGAATAACAATAAAGGCAAATTTTAAGTTTAATATTGATAATATTGGTAATATTGGATGGATGTCATGTGTGACGGATCGTCTGTCAATCGATGCTCCTAGCGCTTACCAAGAACCATCAGCACTGCACCGGACACCATAACCACCGCAGACGTCACGAACCGCCGTAGCTTAGTTGGGGTCTCGCCGTCTCCTTCCCACCCTGGTCCAACCTCTAGATCCAGGATGGTGTGGGAAGGACCTCTCCAGGAGAGTATAGCTGTGGGAAGGACCTCTCCTCCCGGAGAGTATAGCTGCATAGCCGAAGAGAGCTCTTTCAAGTGCTAGCAGTGATATAGCAGATAAGGCTGCGAGTTGAGGGTAAGAAGGTCTGGTTTATTGAGCATTTTCTTTTATACACATTTTCAGTCCAGAGGCACAGCCCCCTGGACCTGATGGAACACATGGACAAAAGAGACACAACCCAATAGGAACAATAATTATCACAGTAACACTCCCACCTACAGTCAGAAGGTGAAGGTAAAGTTCAGCGGTGTTTGTGTCGTCGCGTTTCCGATTTGAGTTCCATGAACTCGACGACCAAACACAGCTGAACGATCCGGCCACTATCCGAAGTGCCACTTCAAAAGTGCAGATCCTTTCCAATAGAATTTAAACGGCAGAAACAGTGTTTTAGAATCCAATATGCCCAAATAGTGTTTTTAAAGGGCAATCCATCCCAAGGGCCATAGTCACAGGGCAAGAGGCTGGCAAGCAGGCCTCTCCAAAACCCAGTGGCGAAGTGCAATTCGTCACATCATGTGAATCTTATCTATACCTGGGATCAACATCTTCTCTGCACTGTGGTCAGAAAAGGTATGAAGTTATATAACATTGTGGGCATTTGGAAATAAAAATCTTTCGATGGGTAAAAGCTTAACACGCTTACATAACTAAAGATAATCCTTGGTTAGGACATTTTTAAAAAATTTTTTTTTACTATTACTGGACATATCCAAGCTGGTGGATACCCCATTCACTGAGCTTTTACGGTCATAATTTCACTTGGTATAATATGTTTATAAAGCTCATTAAATACCAGGGCAAATGGTAGCACTATTTACGTTTATGTTTAACAACATTTCTCATAAGTTCGTGTCTACCTGAATGGAATTTTTCCATATCCATATGCTTTGACGGTAAACTTTAATCACCAAAACAGCTACAGGTTAATGAAGTCGTCTTTGTGCATACATCATGTCCCTGAAATCTCACTGATTGTGTATCTGCTATTTAGGGGATAAATCCTTTGGTTACACCTTTTAGAACAGAGAACTTTGATACATTACCACAAATGTGTCGAGGATCTATTTGAAAATTAAATGTTTTTTTTTCTATTGGGATCACAGCCAGGAGGGGTATTCACTGCACAATATAGTGCATTTATACTAAACAATTTTTTGTGTGTAATTGCCTGTTCTCCAACCAGTAGAGACCCAATAAAAATGTTAACAATCCAGTCAAACAAAAATGTAACATGCAGCAAGATGCTGTGTTTTTGTTTGACTGGATTGTTTTATATTCTTTTATGCTATTATTGGTTTCTGAAGAAGTCTATACATATAGCTGATGAAATGCATAAGACTTATATTTGTTCTTATTTGTTCTTAATTGCGGAATAAATCCTTTAGAATTTGCACCATTACTTGGAATTTGGAATCGAACAATGACAAATGTAAAGTTGCTGCATTGTTCAGCTGTATATTATTTTTTTATTAATTGTACTTATTAGTGTTTATTTGCTAAAGTGAGAATTCAAAGTGGATTTTCAATTTACAGCACTACTAAAGGCACCCGATCTCAATGAAGTGGTTTGGGTGCAGTGATGCTGTAATTTTAACCTTTTTACAAGCTTTGAAGCTTTCCGTTTATGCCAAAGGAGATCCTTTTACATTCAAGGAGCGAGGTTGTGACCCACCAGCATATCAGGGGGAGAAACCATGATATGCTTGTTAAGCCCTACTTCTTGTGAGTGCAAATGAATGCATTTGGAGCGTATTCACTAAACTAACACTTACCTATAAAGCTCTAACCAACTCTAGCCCCTGTTACATTTCTTCCTGGATTCATAGGTATGCCCCTTCTCGATCTCTCTCTGCTCTGCTGGTGTCTCCTGTCCGCTGCTCGCACCCTTACTGCTAACCCGCGCTTGCAGGACTTCTTGCGGGTGGCTCCCTTACTTTGGAACAGCCTGCCTACCCCATCAGACTCTCCCCTAGTATTCATTTGTTTAAGAAGTCCCTCAAAACACATCTGTTCAGAAATGCTTATGGAGTCCCAGAGTAACTTATCTTTACTTATCCAAAACTGTCTCTTGCTCTCCTAAAGAGCCATACTCCACTCTCAACTCCAACTCTGCTACTTTCCCACCTTGTTTGGTGGCTGTCACCCTTGCTGCCCTGTTGTGTATTTGTACCCCACCTCATCTAGACTGTAAGCTCATTTGAGCAGGGCCCTCATCTACCTATTGTTCCTGTGTCACTGTGTAATAGTCTCATTTATTGTAAATCTCCCCCTTTCATAATATTGTAAAGCATGCAGAATTAGTTGGCGCTACATAAATACCAATAATAATAATAATAATAATAATAATAATAATAAACGGTGTAATGCTATTATTGCTTAAAATTTTATACCTCAGCTGTATTCAATTTTGTATTTTTGAATATCTGGTTATACAAGAAACCATACAGGAAGGTCTAGCACATTAAAAGGTAAGTATCCTACATACAATTAAAAGTGATATTTGTGAGAGCACTCCGAGAGAAATTTAAATGGGATACTTGTATATTTTACATATATTTCTTTTTGGTAGTAAACCTCTTAGTTTTATCCACTGACACATGTACAGAAAGTTTATTCCTTAGGGTAACTTTGTTTCAATGTTTTCAATATTGGTTATATTAAGAAACATTATCATTAGAGAAACAAGATAACCAAAATATAAGAAAACTTGAAAAATAATAGAAATTAACTGCTATACAATTCAGTTTAATTTTTTATTTTTTTTAGAATTGAATTTAGTAATACAAAATGATAAATTGTTGTGATTTTGGTAGGTAGGGAATAGATGGTGGCTGAGGCTAAGTCCATTGATCCTGCTGACATAAAACTAGGAGCTGGGTGGGGGGCTCTCTCCTAGAGGATGTACCATTGCAGAACGTGCAGAATTTCGACCATTGCAACAACGCGGCAGTGAGGGATTTCTGTGAGCTACAGGTGGGGGTGCCTTCTAACCCAATGCTACAGCTTTGGTTATCACAACTGAACTGTACACTTTTACTTTAATTTGCCAAACAAATCCAAAGTGCACCAAGACTTACCATGGTTTGAAGACTTTTGCATGGGTACAGCAGATGTGGAATGCAGGGTCAAAACCCTTTATCAACAATTACTAGTGGGTACCTTGAAACAGGAACACAGGAACTCCTTTAAGAGACAGTGGGAAGGACTCCTTTAAGAGACAGCAGAAAGTCTCTGTGACATCTCAGACCTTCTCCAACACCCAATGGGAGAAGATCCTTATTTTAGAACATAAAAGCGCAATAAGCTCCAAATACCAAGAGATCAGTTTTAAACTGATCTCACACTGGTATCGTACTCCAGCTTTTCACCACCGAAACTTCCCCCCGATCCCTGAGGATTGCCTGATATGCAATTCTGCAGTCAGTTCCGTACAACATACAGTATATGGTGGGATTGTCCCGAGAAAATACCTTACTGGAATGAGGTCAACAGAGTAGTGATTGAGATTCTGGATGAAAGACCCAAATTTCCTGCACTAAGAATGTGCTTCTACACTCAACTTAACTGTCCCTCTCTCAATATAAAAAAATAAATTCTGAGGCACCTGCTTAACGCGTCCAAATCATTGGTGCCTGCCCTCTAGAAACAGACGAGCCCTCAGCCATCAACCAATGGTTGCTACTGGTTGAAGAGATTCACTCTGCAAAAGCCAAACAGGAAGAGTTTTTGGGCCAAGGCATCAAACATGCGGAGCACTAATACCTTTGGTATGCCTACTTGGTGCATGTAGAGACTGGGGGTGTTGCACAGGCCTTTAGCTGAAGTGTGGCAGAGGAACCCGCGCATCCTACACACATTGCTTCTCTTCTTTTATTTCCTCTTCTATCTTATTTATGCTTAATCCAGGTCTCTTACCTAATTGAAGCTTCACTGATGTGGCCTGGATGCGGGCTCTGGCAATAGGAACACACACTCAAAGTGGGTATAACTCACTACGTAACTATACATACAGTCTTTACTTGAAATCCAATGTTCGGGATGTAACTGATGGTCCCATACCGGCGATAGCGCTATTTAACACCAGGCTCGGCTAAGGTGCTGGTCCATGCCGCTGTTCTTTCTCACCTAGACTACTGCAATCCCCTTCTCAGTGGTCTTATGTGTTCCCAGATTGCACTGCTGCAATCTATAATAAACACGGCGGCGGGGCTCATTTTCCTGTCCACCTGCACCTCCCCCCTCTGTCAGTCCCTACATTGCCTTCCAGTTATATATAGGACTCAATTTAAGATTCTGGTGCTTGCTTACAAGTCCCCACATAATGCTGCTCCAACCTACCTATCCTCCCTAATACACAAGAATTGTCCCGTTGAGGCCCCTGCGCTCTGCCAAAGACCTACATCTATCCTCTATCTGTACTCCCACATCTGATGCTTGCCTCCAAGACCTCTCCAGGGCTGCACCTTTTCTGTGGAACTCCCTTCCCTTCACCGTTAGACTTTTACACAGTCTCCACTCCTTAAAAAAAAATCCTTAAAAACACACTTCTTCAGGAAAGCATATCATTTAAACTGTTAGCGGGTTTTTATCATTTATAAATATTAAAATAATAATAAGAAAGTTCCTCTCTCTGAAGCACTGCTAAAACTGTAACTCACATAATAGACCCATACAATATATTGGATTAAGACCAGTCCTACACTATACCACTATACCATGTTGCCTGGCTCTTCATTCACAGCTTACATGTTTGCAGACCAGGTTAAAGCTTTCCTTTTTTCTTTGTAATGTTGTAAATGTAAGGTGTAACAACCTTTTGCAGTTGTCATGAGCACCTATGGTGCACACTAATTATTTGCACCCCCCATATTAATATGCAATGTAGAAAGCGAAGTGCCAAATGTCGGGATTCCTGCGAGCCTCCGTATCCTTCTAAACAATATTGTTTTCTCATAACTCTTTACTTTGTTCATACATGTCATGTCTTTCTTATCTGTGCAAACTCAATAAAAATTCTGATTTACAAAAGAAAAGAAAGAGGGGAAAAAAAGAGAGAAAATGGGAATAAATGGTGGTGTTATTAGCCACTGACCATCACATGGTGAATAAGGCATAGATGTTCCCTTTTCTCATGGTTTTATATATTATACTTATTTTGGGAAGGTTGTGACCACTGAAATCCTTAGCTGTCAGTGGTCAGAAAAAGTAACTGTGGTTCCCTGTTGTGCAATCCTCAGAGATCAAAGAAGAGTTTAGCATAGTTTTTAATGGACTTTCCAGATTTGCCACCTGATCAAATCTCACGTGGCTGCTCACACACTGAATTCCTTCCAAAGATGGTGGTATTAAAAGCATCTGGGATTTGGGCGCAGTTTGCAACCACATTGGAAAAACTGTGATCACTTTTTCTGCGGCTCACTAAATTGAGCTTTTTTTTCTGTTAAAATGTTGAAGAAACAATTATACACAATGAAAACTCAGCAGTGAATGGTGTCATCTGTTAGAGGAACATGATGAAGACAGATGTTTTCCATTGTAAGTCACAGGCAGACGCCTTCTGCAGCATCCCTGCTCATTAATTATCTGTCACCATCCATGATAACTACATACCTAAGTGATGATCCGTTTCAATTCAAATAATCTAATTGATTTTTGAACATACATATACAGGTTTTAGTAACCATTAAAGGTTTTGATGGATTTGATTAATATTTCGATTGTGAATTTTGCTCTGTGACATACAGTACAATTTACAGCCTAAAGTAGTACGATTTACATAGATATATTTGTAATTAATGAATGTGTTGCCTTTTTTGCTGTGAGTGATGATAACGAACATAAAATTGTATTTTTTAGGTATTGCTAGCTTCTATTCCTAGCAATAAAGCTATTGGTACTTCATTTTTTTGCCTTACCAAAACTTAAAGAATTTACCAGGATGAACCCACTCCTTAAATGAACACTATATGCACCAGACCACTTCATTTAAATTCTGAGCATGCGCATAAGGTTCCCAATGCTCCTCTGTGAGGAGCATTGGATTGGACATTGCGGACATCATTGGAGGAATAAGGATTTAATCACCTTGTTCCTTGGCGCTGCTGTTCATAGCAAATCCTCATTTATTTATTTATTTATTTATTTCTACGTGGGCTGTGTGTTTATCTACCAGTAGTGGGGCTAGAAGGCTTGAAGTCTTGTAAATTTGATGCAGAATCGTCAGAAACAGAGAATAGCATTACAGTTATTTCCTAAACCTCTGGCCAATTGTCTATTTATGAGCCCAGTCTTTCAAACCATATCAAGGAAGATAACACTTTTGGAAGCATCACCCTAACAGTATGGTTTAAAGACTTAAAGACCTACTAATGACAGCAAATCTAGTCAGTGAATTAGCACACTCTGTGCTCCTTGTTTCGTTATCAACTTGTGTTGGCTATTTGTCAGTTTTATAGATGCACAACAGATAACATCTTTTTTTTAAAAATATTTTTATTAACCTGCTTTTAAATCAGTTTGAGGAGGTGAAATTATGTATGCAAGGGAGTTCATATGGTGGACTAACTTGGCAGAGGGAGGGAGAGAACCTCACCTGGAATCTGGATTTACCACAAAAGGAATCAAACAAAGGGCTGTTGTAAAAAATGTTTGTCTTGTCTTGTCTGTTAGTTCAGTAAAGGGACACTCCATTTAAAGAAAAGTACGAGAACAGGCACTCCGTCTGATACTGGAGGGTGTGTGCGCTCGCTCCCTGTGGTGAAAACTGTAATTGCAGACAATTACTATAGCTGCCGGGTTCACTTACCCAAGAAACAATTGTTAAAGCAGAGTGAGAGAGGAAGCCCAGGGTGTTTCTCAACGCATTTTCTCTTCAAATCAGCACTCAAATAAGACAAGGAGGACCTCCTAATCATCTGTAAAGCTATAGATGATTCCAGTAAGCATGAACCATCTTGCATATCATGTTATGGGTATACACAAGGCAAAATGAGACAGCATCTTGGTCCAGATGAACCCACAATGTTGTGACTTGAGTTAATGACAGGACTATTACTCTTGATAGGCTTAAACGTATTACTAAATTGCAATCTTTAAAGGACCACTATAGTGCCAGGAAAACATACTAATTTTCCAGGCACTATAGTGCCCTGAGGGTGCCCCCACCCTCAGGGTCCCCCTCCCGCCGGGCTCTGGGGAGAGGAAGGGGTTAAAATCTTACCTTTCTCCAGCCCCGGGCGGGGAGCTCTCCTCCTCCTCTCCTCCATAGCGACGTCATCGGCTGAATGCGTATGCGCTGCAGGAGCCACGCGCGCATTCAGCCAGTTCATAGGAAAGCATTTACAATGCTTTCCTATGGACGCTGGCGTCTTCTCACTGTGATTTTCACAGTGAGAAGCACGCAAACGCGTCTAGCGGCTGTCAAGAGACAGCCACTAGAGGCTGGATTAACACTATTTTAAACATAGCAGTTTCTCTGAAACTGCTATGTTTATTTAAAAAAGGGTTAATCCTAGATGGACCTGGCACCCAGACCACTTTATTAAGCTGAAGTGGTCTGGGTGCCTATAGTGGTCCTTTAAGTTTGGATGAATAAATTGCAATCTTTAAGTTTGGATTCCAATATTGTTGAATGGGTAAGGCAGTGGCTGAGTGACAGGCAACAGAGGGTTGTAGTCAGCGGAGTATATTCGAAGTTTGGGCTTGTCACCATTGGGGTACCTCAGGGATCTGTACTTGGACCAATTCTCTTTAATATTTTTATTAGTGATATTGCAGAAGGTCTTGATGGTAAGGTATGTCTTTTTGCTGATGATACTAAGATATGTAACAGGGTTGATGTTCCAGGAGGGATAAGCCAAATGGCAAATGATTTAGGTAAACTAGAAAAATGGTCAGAGTTGTGGCAACTGACATTTAACCCCTTAAGGACACATGACGGAAATATTCCGTCATGATTCCCTTTTATTCCAGAAGCTGTGTCCTTAAGGGGTTAATGTGGATAAGTGCAAGATAATGCATCTTGGACATAAAAACCCAAGGGCAGAGTACAGAATATTTGATAGAGTCCTAACCGCAACATCTGAGGAAAAGGATTTAGGGGTGATTATTTCTGATGACTTAAAGGGAATCAGAAAATGTAATAGAGCAGCAGGAAATGCTAGCAAAATGCTTGGTTGTATAGGGAGAGGTATTAGCAGTAGAAAGAGGGAAGTGCTCATGCCATTGTATAGAACACTGGTGAGACCTCACTTGGAGTATTGTACTCAGTACTGGAGACCGTTTCTTCATAAGGATATTGATACTTTAGAGAGAGTTCAGAGAAGGGCTATTAAACTGGTTCATGGATTGCATGATAAAACTTACCAGGAAAGGTTAAAGGATCTTAACATGTATAGCTTGGAGGAAAGACAAGACAGGGGGGATACGATAGAAACATTTAAATACATAAAGTGAATCAACACAATAAAGGAGGAGACCATATTTAATAGAAGAAAAACTACCACAACAAGAGGACATAGTTTTAAATTAGAGAGACAAAGGTTTAAAAATAATATCAGGAAGTATTACTTTACTGAGAGGGTAGTGGATGCATGGCATAGCCTTCCAGCAGAAGTGGTAGAGGTTAACACAGTAAGGAGTTTAAGCATGCAAGGGATAGGCATAAGGCTATCCTAACTATAAGATAAGGCCAGGGACTAATGAAAGTATTTAGAAAATTGGGCAGACTAGTTGGGCAGAATGTTTCTTATCTGCCATAACATTCTATGTTTCTATGTTACTCCAAGTATTGCAAGCTACATTCTTTTTTAGGGAAAGTGAGCTTTAGTGACAAGTTCTGCGGAACTTGTTTTTCTACAAAAATCATTTAACCCCTTAAGGACACATGACATGTGTGACATGTCATGATTCCCTTTTATTCCAGAAGTTTGGTCCTTAAGGGGTTAAAGAACCACTATGGGCACCCAGACTACTTCAGCTTAATGAAGTGGTCTGGGTGCCAGGTCCCTCTGGGTTTAACCGTGCCTGCTGTAAACATAGCAGTTTCAGAGAAGTGTTTAACTCCTTCCTCTCCATCCAGCAGGGCGGGAGTGGGACCCTGAGGGTGGGGGCACCCCTTGTTTTCCTGGCACTATAGTGGTCCTTTAAGTACTGTCAACAGACTCACAGCAAATCTTTAGAAACATATATTAGGTTGGTTGAAACTAGATAATGCAAAATAGATAAGTTATTAATTCATCATGCACAAAAAAGAGTCCTGCGCTCAGACTCCCACTAGTCCTGGATGGCAGCAATGACCACAGCACACATCAGCCATACATACAATAAAAAACATATAAAAGTTACTTGCGCAATATTCCAAATCCCTATGCATAGGGATTTGGAATATTGCGCAAGTAACGTTTTTCTTTGGTATTAATTTATCATATCAATGTTTATCCTACAATTATCTGTGAATGCATGGACTTCCTCAGGGTAACAACAATCCGTCTGTTATTCAGAGTTATGAATACAGGATTATTGTGCCCCTGAGGACGTTATGAATACAGATGGATTATTGTGCCCCTGAGGAAGTCCATGCATATGGAAGAAACGCGTAGGGCTTAAACTGTATTATATTATTCTTTCATTTGTTATTTATTTATTTTAAGTATTTGTTTACATCGCCATTTTTAATTTGTATGCTGCTGCTCCCGACCTTCTGAGGATCCTGTCTGGAATGAGGACCCAGTGGTTATGGTGATATGCCTATTATTTTAACCATCTTGTAAGTAGATTCAATAAATTGTTCATTTTGGATATAAGAAGATGTACTCTATGTGTCCATTCTTCTCTCTCCCTATGTATGCTTTGGATATGGAGTAAAAGAAAATAGAAGAAAACAATATTGGAGAAGCTTAAGGCCTTCCATCATTCAATTTTCTGTGAGTGCAACATTGAATAGCCTTTAAGCTCCCCCCTGACCTTATTACACTATTTTAGTTTTTTCTTGTTGTAGATGTTCTTGTGCGTATAGAATCTGAAGCAGCCTGTTGTGCAATTGACATTCAACTAAGAGTGAATGAGACCTAAATGTTTTAAGTAAACGCACTTTGCGTAAAATTACAGCCTTTTTTTCATAAACTCTGTCCTGGCTGAGATTATCAATGACGATAGTCTCAGACAATCTAATGTTTCCCCATGTACAGAAATATTGGGGGGCTAGACTTCCGTACACATTAAACAATAGAGATAAAAGATACTCTCTCCCTGTCATAGAATGACTCTGTGCACATTAAACAATAGCAGTAACAATCATCATCTCCTTCTAAACATGCATTATTTCAATCTAATATTCATTTTTTTTTCTTCCTTCTACAGAAATTTCCAGTAAATGTTTAAAGCAAATGGCTAAAAAGAAGAAAAAAAAACCTTAAGAAAAGCTTTACGCAAACTTTTTCTCTGAATGTTTGCACATAAAATACAGGGAAAATACGGGAAGATTAGTACGTAGAATTGCCTAATTTGTTTAGTCAGCATTACAGCATTCCTTTTTATGCCTGGATTTTGAAAAAACTGGCACACAGACATTTCTAATAAAAAAAATAAAATAAAAAAAATCCAAGTAAATGGTTGTTGTGCTTTGTGTTTAACTGTGAGGTCTTAAGGTTACAATCATTGTTGGACTACAGGGATCATCTTGAAGCATAAATAGAAGTTCCTCCCTTTTCTCTTCACCAGAATAACTCAGCTGCCAGCAAACCCAGGTGCTCCTTAGACTAACAGAAGACTACAGGACACAAGCTGTAAGTATCAGTCAAGTTTCTTATGTCTGTGTGTGTACAGAATATGTCTACATCATACAATGGTACCATACAACTTTGCTAGCTTGTATTTTAATTTGTATTAAACACAGTTTTGCTTTAATTTATTTTTACAATCAGATCTCCAGTTTATTATACTGCACATTATTTATGGACTGTAGTTTTCAATAAATTCAAGATTTTGGGAGTCACAACTGCAAAAATCTATAGTAATTAATCGTTTCACTTATATATTTGCACAATAAGAATTTTGTGAAACATTGTTTTCCTAACTCATTTTCATGGGAGATGATGATGCTTGCCATTCTGTTAACCAAATGTTTTACTGAGAGTTGATAATGTTTGCTGTGCGCAATGTTGAATTTTGGCAAGCTTACTGCTGTGAGTGTAATGTAGTAAAAGAAAAATATTGAGTTGTGTGTTTATTTTTTTTTATGTGCAGAAAATGGACAACATGATTCTGGTCTCTAACTTCTGCAGTCTTTTTTTGATTGTTTTATCAATCGTGGGTTATTCCAGCTGTCTTCCTCGAAGTGAAGAATCTATTTGTACAGCAGAGGAGCTTGCTAAGTATAGTATAGTTTTTACTGGCAAATGGAGTCAAGCTTCGTTCCCTAAACAATATCCCCTGTACAGGCCCCCTGCTCAGTGGTCACCACTTCTCGGTAAGTGATTAATACTCGCAGATGAAAATGAACAGAATATTTCAAGACGTAAGCTAAGAGTTAATTGTGGAAAGTGTTAAGTAACTGGTTCCGTTCCATTCCAATATGCAAGAACGCAAGAGGAAAATTCATGGAAGGGCTCCTAGCTACAGCAATTAGCATTTCAATTCGGATTACCAGGCCAATCATGGTTTTTCCAAGTACTGTTTCTGGGAATCTATATTGAACTGTTTTGAGTATTAGAGTGGGTGAGGGATGCACTGAAAGATTGACTGTGTGAAAGCTGGCAGGGTTACACAACCTGTGGTTGCTTGCAATAATCTAATAGGACCTTTATTTATTGGGAATTTATATTTTTATATTAATAAGCATAGGTATTTAACGTAAGCCTAGAAGGGAGATTATATTGGTTTCCTGCTATTTGCTTTCAATATTGTGCAGTTTTAAAACAAATAGCTCAATAGCTATGATTGTAAGTTAGAATTAAACTGGCTATTTTGGATATATAAGAGTGTCTGCATTGCTTGTGAAGATTTTTTTTTTTTTTTAAACTAGGGTATAAGCAGTGACAATGCTTCCCTGAAAACAGCATCTAAGAAAAAACACGACTGTTCATGTGCTTCTTTAACCCCTTAAGGACCAAACTTCTGGAATAAAAGGGAATCATGACATGTCACACATGTCATGTGTCCCTAAGGGGTTAACTGTGTAATGACTCACCTCATGGAAATGTATAGAATGATAGACAAAGTAATATTATGTTAATGTTTAATGAATCCCATTATGGAAATGTATAGAATGATAGACAAAGTAATATTATGTTAATGTTTAATGAATCCCATTATGGAAATGTATAGAATGATAGACAAAGTAATATTATGTTAATGTTTAATGAATCCCATCATGGAAATGTATAGAATGATAGACAAAGTAATATTATGTTAATGTTATTATTATATTAAATAATCGCCCATGTGTTTTGTAGCTCATCCAGCCTATTTTTTTTTTAATCATGTTCCACTAACAGTTTTTGTGTTTTATTATGCAAACCTGTTGATAACAGATATTTTAAGTGATTTGACCCATACATAAGCAGGGTGTATGTACAGTACACTGTGTGATCAGTTGTTATAGTCTATATGTGCCATACACCAGTTAGATAAGATCTGCTTTAGCAGATGTAATCACTTTGTATGACCTACATGTACTTACTCTGGCAGTCCATCAAAACCAATGTGAAAGCATTGCTGTAAAAAGCTGCATCCACTGTTAAAGATAGTATTTAAGGGGTACTTCAAGCACTAGGACCTCTGACAGTGTCATTGGGGTGTCATTAGCCAGCCCACAGCTATAGGCAGAACCACCATGTGCTGTACAAATGCAAGTCCAGCAACCTTGTAGGAGCCAAATGGCAAGTCCAGTTTACTGGCAACTCCAGAAACAATGTTTTAGGGCCATCGTAGCTATACATTGGCAAGCTCAGAAATCATTTTGCAAGACCTTCATCATGCACCTTACATTGGGAGACCCGGGAATCAAGTGGCAAGAACGCCCAAAAATCTGAGTTGCTACATTTGTAAGAATAGCCTGCAGTTAGTTACATTGTGTGTACATTGAGAATCAAAGGAAGTGTGTAGGAATACATACATTAACTATAATATATGAACTTGTGAATTACACATCTGAAACACAGAAATTGAGCATTCAACCATATGCAAATGTGCCAAGCAGTTTAGATTACACGGTTTGTGTTATTGTGGATGAAAACTAGTAAACAATGAAAAATGCAATGCACTGTGGTTACGGACATGTATGTTGATGACCTCAGACTTTTTCCAGCTGTGAAAAACTATTTGGAATTCTGACACACAGCTGGAAACTTACAAATTCCATTCAACATTTTTCCTTAAACAACAATCTCTATACAAAAAAAATTTCTACTTTTTCATGACACAAGACTAATTCTGTTATTTTTTTCTGCTTGGTAGTTAAGAGATTAAAGTGTTACTTCAAGAATCATAACCACTACGTCCCTGTGTAGTGCTTATGATGTGAGGAGTACCCTTTCCCCATTTTCTGGTAACAAGGCAAACAGTTTTGCAACAGTTAGCCCTCTTACCCGGGTCCCTGCAGGTCAAGTGACCTGCATTCACATTCTACAGAGCTACTGAAGCCGGATGCCGTTGTCATTCATTGGTTGAGAGCATTAGCTGATAATGCCAATGAATGTAACACAGTGCATAGAAATATGCACAGAATTGACTTCCGCCTAATGACGCAGCCAGAGATGGAGTTGGAGTTACACCTCCAGCAACAAAGTTAAACTCAGTATGTGCAGCATTTCATAACAATATACTGAACATACAGACTCCAGGCACCATGACAAATTTTAATCACTGAAGTGGTCATAGTGCTTAGAGAAACCCTTTTAAATATTCCCATTTAGCTACTTCCATACTTTAATTAGGTCATTGTTAAATTTCACTTAATCCATCCGGCAGCGGCAACTTGTTTTGCCCCTATCTTGCGAGATACAAAATGACAAACAAGTGTCTTATCCTCATTTTATTTAATCAACTAAATTTAAACAGATCGCTTACTATGTATTTGAGTATTGGTTTTGTATCATATGCCATGAATAATTCCATATTATATGTAATGTGGCTATTTCTACTAAGTACGCATATAGTTAAATTGACTACTTTGTACAAAATCTCAAGTTCACGAACAGAGGGACGGAAACTTATCAAACTGTTCAGTTTAAGAAAGCACAGCACGTGACTTTTTTGGTAATAATATATGTGCCAATGTATTCCTACGACAGGAGCGACTCACAGTTCAGACTACCACATGTGGAAAAAACATGAGCCGGCCAGTAATGGAGTGCGTGAATTTGCAGAAAAAGGTGAAGCCTGGTCACTGATGAAAGAAATAGAAGCAGCTGGTGAAAAAATTCAAAGTGTGCATGGCATCTTTTCAACAGGTTCCATTACCAGTGGGACAGGACAAGCATCAACCGAGTTAGAAGCACATTCAAGACACCCATTTGTAAGTACAGCAGCCCACCAGTGGTGGCATTGGCTGGGCTCCTGTTTTCTAACACAGCACCTCTCTTCTTACGTGTTTATATGCTAAATTGCATATGCCTATCCTTATTCCTTAGCTGCAGTATGATTGCTAAATAGTGAAGAAACCTATAGGAAATCTGGGGTCAGTAGAAAAAGCTGTAAAATGCATTTTTGCTCATACACACGTTTCCCCATCACTCAGCCCATGAGCTTCCCTTCACTGTTACATTGCCTGCAGGAAGGACGCAACCCTTTAATGGTTGGGCACGTTATTAGTGATGCAAGTTGTGCCAGTGACACACCACCATGCAGCTCTGTGCTCGTCTCAGAATTACCAAAGCTGGGTAGTATGTTGCCTGTGATGTGTAGATGTGTAAAAATTATGCTCTCTTGTCCTAATGGGTGTTCTGCTAGACACATGGTGGAGCACTAGCACAAAGCAGTTCTAGTACAAAGTAGAACTGGACAAACATTTCAGTCAAGTAGTTGCCAATTTTAACCTCTTTTTCAGTGTTCAATCATTTACCATTATTAGCTTGATTGCCTGTTAAAGGAACACTATAGTGTTAAGAAAAATGTATTCCTAACGCTATAGAGCCCTAGTCCCCGTTTAGGTGACAAGGGCCCCGTTCCTCAGCACTGGTGACCTCTCCTCCTCCATTGACGTCAGCTTCCGAGTGGAGCCGAATGCGCATGCGTGGCCAGAGGTGTGCGCTCATTCAAACCCCCCCCCCCCCCATAGGAAAGCATCAATCAATGCTTTCCTATGGGGATCTTTTTTGACAATGGACTCCGTGAGGACGTCCCAGCGTCTAATAAGTGTGATTTAATCGCGGAAGCGGCCTTCTCTGAAACTGCTATGTTTACATGTGAAGGGTTAAAACGTGAAGGACCTGGCTCATTGAGCTGAAATGGTCTGGGTGCCTATAGTGGTCCTTTCATTTTTAGTCATTAAAGTGCAATAATTTTTCTCAAAGCTTAGTGCTGATTTGGACTCTCCAGATGCACCTGAGGTGCCTACAGTAATTTGCTGGATTTCTGTTAATTTTACAGAAACACACAGAATACTATTACAGAGCATCACATCACAGCACACTGATTATTCTGTGCCTAAGGGCTCCTTTTACTGCAAAGAGAGTTGCAAGGAGTTCAGAACTGACTTGCAAATTAAGGTCAATAGAATCATCTTTGCTGCACAGGATATATTCTCCCCTAATTCAGATATGTAAATGTTTTGTAATTTTACTTTATTGAAGTATTTGCTCATAGGACAAGACATGTGAACAATGTCAACAACGTTATGTGACAAGATATGCAGTAGTAGCATAAATGTTACCTCATTCTTGAATAAAGAATAGAATCAAAGTGAATTATGAGTACAATCTTAAGCAAAATAATAAACATTAATTGTAGTTCTCATAATATATCATACTGCGAAGATAAGTTAGGAATATCACTAGGTGCTAAGCACTAAAGAAAAAGCTGAAAATTTACATATTATGAATTGAGAGGCTAATATAGGCAAGAGCAATGTCTCTGGCCAAAACAGAGGTAGGAACTCAGCAAATGCCAACCAGGCAGGGTTCTCTACCGTGATGAGACAGTCATTAAATTCCACAGTAGGTCACCATCCAGTCCCAGTCTCTTACAATCCAGCACACTATTCTCACAGTTTCAGTTGTATTTGGTGAACAGTGCAGGATTTGGGATTTCCCCCAAAGTGCAGCCACCGGTACTGATTGAGGGCCTCCTCAGGATGTGAACTGTGCAGAGGGAAATGATCCCATTTGGACTGCGGCCTAGTGGTGATAAAGCAGGTAACTGGTGCCCCAGTATTTAGGTCTCTTCTGCCATGTCATGTCAGGACTATTCAGAACAGGCAATGATTGGTAGTGTGTTCGTGAAGATAAAGGCCGGGTCAGCATAGGCCCCTTCGCTCGCTGGCTTAGTGTGGCCTAAAACTGTGACCACAGTCTATCAAAGGCCTGTGTTAGTTTCTCCTCATGAGTGGTCCAAATCACAGGAGCATGTGGAGGTGTAGATTTCTGAGCAGCAAATCTTAAGAAGTAGGCCTCAGACGATCGACTTTTCATGGTTTCAAAAACACTCGGCAGAGATCACGCCAGCAGTGGAGTACAGTATATCCCCCACAGGTTCAAAGGGGGGACAGGGCAGGGCTCAAAGAGAGCCTGGAAGAACTCTTGGCAGAGGATCGGCTGCGACCCCCTTCTCAAGTATGTCCGCAGCCACTGAGACAATCTACCCTCTAATGTGGCTTTGTTATCCCATACATTTAGAGCAGGGTTACATTTGAACCAAAAAAAAACCTGTTTGAACATTTTGAAATATAGGTTTTTCCTAAGGAGCACCAGCTACAAACTTCTGTCTTAGATGGCAGTCAGCAGCCCCCCCCCCCCACCCACAGTTCAGATATTTTAGTTTGCAAGTTAGTTAAAAGCTTATTCTGCAGTGAATACATTCCGACGTTACAGAGGCTCATATAAGGAAACATGTCTAACATTGTACTTCTCCTAATGAACCAAAAAACTAAATTGCAGTACATGTATCATAAAGGGGACACTAAGCACCAGAACCACTACAGCTTAATGTAATGGCTCGGGGGGAAAGAGACTGTCCCTGCAGCTTTAGCAGTGACAAAGTTCCTTTTCTTAGTAAATACATTGTTTGCATTGCTGCTGGATGACACCTCTAGGGTTTGTACCTCGGACAGCCACTAGAGAGGGTCCTGGTTTCGGTCATGCTTCTCTGTATGGAAATGCCAAACGCTTACCATAGAGATGTAATTAGTCGGTGCATCTCGATGGGGAGGTGCTGCATGGCGCAGTGCAGCAATTGCCACACATGTGCTATGCGGAAGCATTACGGTTGTTGGAATCATCAGTAATGATGATCTCACCCAGAGGAGGAGCAGCAACTGCACAAAGATTGGAAGAAAGGTAAGTGAGGGCCCAATTATCAAAATAGCTAGTGTAACACTCCTAACATTAATGTGTTTCTATAAACATGTATTTTCCCTTTTGAAAGATTGTATTAACAGATTTCAACTGACCTTCATCTGTCATTTTCCTCCTAAATTAGGTGTCCTTCATGGTGAGAATTGTGCCAAGCCCTGATTGGTTTGTGGGAGTTGATAGTTTAAATCTCTGCAATGGAAATCAATGGAAACAAAGTGTAACATTAGACCTTCATCCGTACGATGCCGGAACAGATAGTGGATTCACATTTTCATCCCCCAATTTTGCTACAATCCCACAAGGCACTGTTACAGAGGTGTGTTATATTTATATATCACAAAAATGCCTAGACCAGCAGTAATGGCTAACGTTGGCACATCAGATCATTCCGGACTACATTTCTCTTGATTTGCATCTAGCCTCTAGACTGACAAAACACCACGAACAATGTTGTTCAATCTCACCTAAAGTGCAAAAATTAGCCATAACAGCCTGACATTTTATCTTTAGGTGACGGCACATTTATATTTCAATATCACTGAGAGTAAGCAATATTGGATATTATTAATACTTTTATATCATAGTATAGATATTTAGTAAAGATCTTTATAAGCATGTTATCCCTTTTGTCATGTTATGTAATTTGTGATATAAAACAGCCTGACTTACAGAAGTGATTACAATCCTTGTTTCACAAGTACAAATATACCAAGCCATTAGTATGGGTGGTAATTAGTTGCGGTTTATCTTTTCTACTTATAATTACAGCAATCCATCTTTATGGATAAAATGTTTGAGCATGATAAATAATCAATAAACAAGAGTCTATTAATAAAGAGTTCACATTTTGTAGCTCAGAATGCAATATGAATAAAGATCAGATTGTTAGAAGTCCAGATGTTTGCATTTATCTGAATTACATAATTTAACATACCAAAACCTATTAAGTCCTGTGACTAGGGCATTTTGGTACCTGTGTAACCTGCAGGTGCCCACTTGGACAAGATACTTTTCATTATTAACAAGTCAATTTAAAATGTGTATATTGATTAACCAGACTCTAAATACATTATTATCTTTCTTTTTGATTCATTCACAGATTACAGCTTCATCTCCAAGTCATCCTGCAAATTCATTTTTCTACCCCAGGCTTAAGAATTTACCACCCATTGCAAAAGTGACGTTTACTAAAATAAAGGGTAGGATTGTGTCCTTCCTGGACATACAATCTAATGTGACCGTAACAGGAAACGAGATAGAAGAGAATGCCTCAGGTAAATAATGGTATATTTTATCTGCCTAGGTGTAACTTCAGGTTTAGACATCAAAATAATGGTAAAAGGTGCACTGAGAATGCAAGGGAATGGTGTTCCCATACTATATTTGAAACACTTTTTTGTTTAAAGTGACACTGCAGGTACTGTAAGTCTTCATCTCATTGAAGTGGTTGTATTGTCTGGAGTCCCCTGTCGCTGTCCTTCCATTCAACATTTAACCATTTTAATGTTTTAATGCTAAATAAGAGTCCCCAGCAGCCCATGCTCTCTGTGCTCCTTGGGCTAATGACGAAGTATCTGACTGACTGTGTCAGATGATGAATTTTAATCTATCACAGCAACCACTGCTGGCACTAATTTGTATTGCTAGAAGAAAGTGTGTAATCACTGCCGTAGTCATACCTTTGGAGATTGGAGAAAAGAAAAATGATTGGTGGAGAAATACATAAGTATAGGAGATGTAGGACCGAGACACAAATGGTAATGGATATGAAAGAAGACAACCTGGGGGTGGGGGGGAGGGGGGGGGGGTTATAATGGAGGAAAGGAAACAGGTTAAAAGATCCAAGTGGGGGATAAATGGAAATATATGTGGTCAGAGGAGGAACACATGGGAATGAAGTCAGGTTGTTCAAGTTAATGGAAAACAAAAGCAATGATATTTATCACACTTACATACACCCGTGCAATCACACACTGTTCAAACACATACATCCATTCTTTACACACTGACAGCTTTGCTTAAAGCTCTGAGCTGTGCAGGGTTTACTAGGTATGCTTATCAGTTTCACTGAAATAGTGATGACTAGCACAGGATGCCAGAGACCAGCTACTCATTAACCCCAGGTGCAACTCACAAATTAAATGTAATAATGCAAACACAGGAATTTCAAAGGAGGTCTATTTGTACATGACATTTTGTTATATATTATATCCCTTTAAGAAGGCCAAGATGTTGATACATTTTTACACTTATTTATTAGGACTAGAAGAGATACATTTTTGAACAGTGGCTAACTATATTCCCATACTACAAAACCAGTAACATCTCACCTTCTCATATCCGAAATCTTTGGTCTTCTGTAGCCAATTCAATGAAAAAGAATTAAAGGAGATTTGTGCCTTAACATGAAAAAAACTAAACAATATAGAAATGTAATTAGGACTCATTAATATATTCCACCACAAGGTAAAACATACAATGTGTACGGGTTTCTATTTTAATTTGCTGAGACGGGGCTCTCCGCTTGTGAAGACACATCGTTCAAGTAAGGAACACTACAAATAAATAAAGCGCTTCAGCTTGCAGAATTACTGTGTGTGGCTGTAGTTTTTCAAGTTTATAAAAATACAGATTTCAACTGGGGCAGAAACACCTCCCCGGTTGTCAAATAGCCAGAGAGGCTTTCTTCCACCTATGTTAGCTCCACAGGTGTGCTAGATTAGAGCATCCCTGCCTTGCCCCTTCTCAATGAACGGTACTACAGCTCAGTGAGAAGCATTGGAAAGCAACAATCATTGGTGAAATCCCTGGCACAGATTAAAAGTTTATTCCAGTGGATGAGGGGAAGGCTTGGGAAGGCATTAGGTGTGCAGCTTTTACTATGTGTTTTTTCATATACACCCAAAGTGAAGGACATTCACTTGAACAGAAAAGGCACGCTGTGCATGTACATGCCACACAGTTAATTAGATGGCTCATCATCGTACAATTACTTGAATGGAGCAATGGATGTTGTAGACTTATTCATTTAAGACAAAATGAAACAACTCAGTGAATAGGCAGATATATAAAATGAGAATTTGAAGAACAACATTCTAGCGCCATAAATACCACTATAAGCTGTAGTTTTATGGTGTTTGCAGTGTCCGTTTAATGAGTTTGTAATTTTTTCCTTGCTTCGTTATTATATACATTTGCAAATTTAGTTTTTAATTAACAGTTTAGTGAGCAATCGTAATATTTGTGTTTTAAAATAAAAATTGTTCACTTTAATGTAATAACAATGAGTAAAATGTAAACTTTGAACTTGCCAAAGGACATTGCTTCTGTGTCTACCAACTAGCCCCAGGCTATTTCAAATAAAATACTACAAAAGTTGAACATGGGCTTGAATAAAGCTCCGCTGATACCACATTTCTTTAGTTCATGGAATAGTCTTCTTAATTTTAATTGTACGCTTGCCTTTTGTTCTATTTTAGAAACACCGCTGGATTGCGAGGTCTCCGTGTGGTCCCACTGGGGCCTATGTAAAGGCAGTTGTGGGAGCACTGGATTTAAAAACCGAACAAGATACATCCGAATGAAAGCTGAAAATAACGGAACTGCTTGTCCAAAACTTGATGAACAAAAGGAATGTGAACCCGAAAACTGTGTATAGTTTGAATTTAACACTAGAACATAACTTATTTTTAAAAGTAGGATGAGTTTATTAGTTAAAAATAAAAGTACATTTAACGCAATATACCATGTGATACTGGTATTGCCTATGACAAAGGTTCATGTGATAATAATCCCTTCTGGATTGCCTAACAATTTCATCAGCTTTGTCTTCCGATTTTATGAACTTATGTAGCACCCTCTTGTGGCAGCATCTGGAACATTTTCAACATCACAATTATGCAAAATTATATTACGTGTACAAATGTATATTTATATGAGCTCAAAATACAGCCATGTCCATATTAAAGAACCATTTTAATTTATTCCGTTTTCAATATTATGTTCAAAAGTAAAGACAAACAAGTCAATGGGACCTGATGGAATACACCCAAAGCTATTAAAAGAGCTTAGTGGTGTACTAGCAAAACCATTAACAGATTTATTTAACCAATCATTGTTAACTAGAGTAGTCCCAGAAGATTGGAAGTTAGCGAATGTTGTGCCCATTCACCACAAAGGTAGTTGGGAGGAGTCGGGAGCCTTACTTCAGTAGTGGGAAAAGTAATGGAAACCATGTTAAAGGATAGGATAGCTGAACATCTAAAAACACATGGATTTCAAGATCAGAGACAACATGGGTTTACTTCAGGGAGATCATGCCAAACTAATCTTATTGATTTTTTTGATTGGGTAACTAAAATAATAGATCATGGTGGTGCAGTAGACATTGCTTACCTAGATTTCAGTAAGGATTTTGACAGTGTTGCACATACAAGGCTTATCAATAAACTGCAATCTTTAAGTTTGGATTCCAATATTGTTGATTGGGCAAGGCAGTGGCTGAGTGACAAGCAACAGAGGGTTGTTGTCAATGGAGTATATTTGAAGCTTGGGCTTGTCACCAGTGGGGTACCTCAGGGATCGGTACTTGGACCCACTCTCTTTAATATTTTTATTAGTGATATTGCAGAAGGTCTTGATGGTAAGGTATGTCTTTTTGCAAATTATACTAAGATATGTAACAGGGTTGATGTTCCAGGAGGGATAATCCAAATGCAAATGATTTAGGTAAACTATAAAAATGGTCAGAGTTTTGGCAACTGACATTTAATGTGGATAAGTGCAAGATCATGCATCTTGGACATAAAAATCCAAAGGGCAGATGAGTCCTAACCTCAACATCTCAGGAAAGGGATTTAGGAGTAATTATTTCTGATCACTTAGGTAGGCAGACAATGTAACAGAGCAGCAGGAAATGCTAGCAGAATGCTTGGTTGTATAGGGAGAGGTATTAGCAGTAGAAAGAGGGAAGTGCTCATGCCATTGTACAGAACACTGGTGAGACCTCACTTGGAGTATTGTACGCAGTACTGGAGACCGTATCTTCAGAAGGATATTGATACTTTAGAGAGAGTTCAGGGAAGGGCTACTAAACTGGTTCATGGATTGCAGGATAAAACTAACAAGGAAAGGTTAAAGGATCTTAACATGTATAGCTTGGAGGAAAGACGAGACAGGTGGTATATGATATAAACATTTAAATACATAAAGGGAATCAACACAGTAAAGGAGGAGACTATATTTAAAAGAAGAAAAGGTACCACAATCAGAGGATATAGTCTTAAATTAGAGGGGCAAAGGTTTAAAAATAATATCAGGAAGTATTACTTTACTGAGAGGGTAGTGGATGCATGGAATGGCCTTCCAGCTGAAGTGGTAGAGGTTAACACAGTGAAGGAGTTTAAGCATGCATGGGATAGGCATAAGGCTATCCTAACTATAAGATGAGGCCAGGGACTAATGAAAGTATTTAGAAAATTGGGCAGACTAGATGGGCCGAATGGTTCTTATCTGCTGTCACATTCTATGTTTCTATATTATTTTTAAATAGCTGGTATTACCTTTATCACCTTGTCACCATGCAAATATAAGATGCAAGCAGTGATTTTAGAAATAGTATAACCATTCTAGGACTAAATTAATTTTTTTTTAAATAAAAAAAATGTACTGATTCATTTCTTTTATGCAGCAGTTTGGTGTCACTTACTGTAATTATTAGTCTCTGTGATATATTTTCATTTTTATCATGCAGATCAGCCCACATCTAATGCTTGCAAAGTCATACAGAACTATCAATGAAGTGTTGTTTTGCATATACTGATCTTTACACTTGCATCATATACTGACAAGAGTTCGAGAATTCAACTAGACAGGTAAAGTTTGAGTAAGAACTTTGATGTTGGTTTCAAACCCGGCCTGAAAGTTTGAAACTGATTTATCAGTTTGAAATTTGAGGTTCAATGAAGGAAAAGCTATTACAGACTGAAAGGAAGTTAGCAAGAAAGACGTTGACATTTAGATTGAGTATATTGTTTTTAACCGACTCACCTGATGAATTCTCATCATCCTAGGTACTGCCTTCAGGTACAGTGATGAAGATACACTGACAGCAATGCAAATGACTCCACTCTACCCCCACCGATATAGAGAACTGCAGTATGAAGTGCAATATGCAATAAGAACCTGCTGGCTGCCACCTCCAAAGTGAGGTTGTTTTATTTTATTAACAGCTGTGCATTTACAAGCACAGTTCTCACAGTAGTCTATGTGAACCAGGGTCACGGTCTCTCTCAATCTTTTCAGCCTTTTAAACTGATGTTTGATTTTACAAATTTGTCACGTTTGAGAGGTGGTCCTGTGTGAATGCCACCAGACTTCACACATGACTCTTCTCACATGCCTATCTTCCTTCCCTTCAGTAGACCTATCATTACATTTCCTAACTACAGATTTATTGACCCACTTCACCAATTATGATGTTTCCCTTTATTGAAGAACACAGTGTTGTTTGAGATGCCTTATTCTTGCATTTTCTGCATGTTGTGTACATGCAGGACTTGTCATTATCACTACACACACTGGCCTTTACAGTGTATTGGATGAAGTTAATTTATCTTCAAGCCAACATTTTCATGTGCTTTGCAAGCACATGTTTCTCTGTCTCTTCGCTGGCCAACCTAAAATGGTTTAAATTTACAGAATTAAGCAACTGAATGGTTGTGCCTGGGATTCTCAGATAGAAATATTTTATGTGTCTATTAAGGCTCTCATGTGGAACATCTGGCCCTCTTTATAAATCTCCTTTATTATGGTGGAGACTGCATCATGAAGAAGGAAGTGGCTTACAAGTGTGCACATTAATCCTCTCTGGCTGTTATTGGGTAATATTTTCTGGTGATTCCTTTTCTCGTTTTCTGCTGGACCTCTCTGCCCTACAAATTGAAAGCATTACCTGCTTTCTACTGGCCATCATCTCAAACATTTACAGTATTTTGATCTGACGGAAGAGAGATCTTCCCTGCTGAGGTGAGAATAGCGGTTCTCTTGATGATAATTTTTATTTTTGTAGATTTCAATTAGGTTCTTCCTTGATGGTATTGTGCTCAACACAGCTTTGAGCTTTATTTCACCTATAGTACCTTTTTGAGTTTTCCCACCACTGTTCTTTCTTCTTTTCATTATGTTTCTTTACCAGAGCTAGTATTCTAGATTTTTTGATATGTGGAAATAGAAAGGAAGGATTACATGAAATATAGTAGAGACTAAATGGCTTACAGTGTGTGTGTGTCCTACAATAGGGATTAAATGGCTTATAGACCATGTGTGAGACTCGTGTGGACTTCCTATAGACTATAAATACTAATTATTCAATAATCTCTCCAACACCTACTCCTTTCTCTCCTTCCTTATGTACACTTTCAGCAATTCTAGGTTGTTGTAAACATTTGCTCTGAATTGTGTCAGCCTAGCTTTCTCTAAAGCTTTCTTTTTGTCACTAGTTGATTGTCTGCAACGAAACAGGACATAAAGCAAAAATATCAACAGTTTGTAAATAATATTTAAATTGATGGTTCATGATATGCATTTAAAAATAGTCTTTATGATTAAATTCTCATTACCTAAACTAAAATTCTCTCTACCGCAACTAGCCTTAAAGTGAGAATAGTGTTGCGGAGAATGAGGAAACCTGTTTTGCTAATTATATAAAAGCCATGAAGACGAAGCAAATGTTTACTCAATGAGCATAGACATTAATGAAGTATATTTTCATAGGAAATGTAAAATGTTTTTTTAAACGTGGAAAACTACCTGTATCAGTAATTATAATCAATACAGTTGTGTACACAGTCTGACAAGAGAATGCTACCGGGTAAGCTTAAGAGATACGCTTAGCTGGTAGCCATCTTGAAGGTACTGGCATGTGTTTTTCTTCATTCAAAATCAAACTTTATTTAACATTCTCAGTGTGTGTAAACAGGCCATTAAAAATGGTGCAGAGGATGAACATTAATCATGAACACTGATTTTTCTGTAATTTGAAAATATCTAGAAAAAAATACTTTATTTTTTTTCTATACTATTTAATTTTACTCTGTTTAAAATACAACATAACATACATTCAGCCATAGTAATGAGAACAGCAGAAAAATGTAATATACAAAAATATAGATCATGCCCCTTAAGGCTTTGTTTATGCAGCTATAGCCACACCTCCCTGCATGTGACTTGCACAACCTTCATAAACACTTCCTGTAAAGAAATAACTTATGTTTAAACTTCCTTTATTGCACTATGTGTTTCATTTAGCATTTCTTATCTTCTGCTCAGTCAATAGCATGCAGGAGCCTTCAGTGTGTGACTAAAGTTCAATGTATAGTACAGGAGATAAAAACTCCTAACGTAAGTTTAAGATCTGATTGTAAATGAAAAAATGTTCTTATGTTGGCTGTATGAGTGACAGCCAGGGATGTTGTGGCAAGGGCTACATTAACAGAAACAAATGTGATCTATCTCCCTAAAGGCAGATATTTGAATAGTGAGGCAGGGGAATGATCTACACACCCAAACTGCTTCCCTAAGTTAAAGTTGTTTTGGTGAATATAGTGTCACTGTAAAATTACTGACTTGTTGTTTTTAATGGTTTTATGAGAATGACTTTTTAACCTAATATGATGCCATGCCTTATTCAAAACCAGCTGTATCTCCAATCATCAATAAAGGGAATATGTAAACTGCAGATATATTCATAACAGACACTTTTGTATTTATATTGTTTTTCGTTGCAACATGACCCTATGGACAGTCACCACAAAGCTACTTTGTAAATACTTACAATTTTACCACAGTTTTTAAATAGGTATAATATCGCCCATCCTACAATATACAATATACAAGCCAACAGCAAATTGTATGTTAATCATTAAAGAACAAACATCAACCAGATGCATTTTCCCATACAAATCAATAGCTTAAACACTTAAACTACACAGAAGGTTTTTGTTTCCAGTCATCCAAGAGAAGTCTCTAGACTCACAAGCCATCATGAGAGCAATGGGAGCTCGCTTAATAATCTTCATGTTCTGCTGGTCTGCCTCTCTAGCAATGTATTTCCATATAGCAGAAAAAGAGGAAGCATGCCTAATCGAAGACATTCCTTCAGACATTTTGGTTACAGGTAAGATCACACCATGTGTATGTACAGTTTCCAGTGTGCCATTTTAACCCTAAAAGGGAGAAGGTTATGGAAGCAGCATGGCAAGTTTACTGTATATTAATAAACAGAGACAATTGTGAAGGTGATAAATGTGTGCAGGAGAATCCTAACAAGGGTTTCGATGTCCACTGTGTATTTCTGGACACATAGCACTATTTTAAGCTGATGAGTAGGACATGTAAAAAGCTTCCCCACAATATGTAGAGAAAAATATAATAATCAAAGTAGTAACTTGGGAGCATCCTTTTGATTAGATAGATTCATCCTTGGATAATATTCATTCCACATACTGCAGCAAAGCATTTTTCATGTCCTTAAATAAATGATTATTGTTTACCCTACATAACTCATTTTTGAATTGCCAGTACAAGTAAAGGGGGTCAGCAGTGTACAGAAAGGTTTATTTTAGGTCACATTACTCCAGGGGTTCCCCCAATAAAATCCCTTGATGTTTGAAAACTACAACTTCCATGAGGCTTTGTCGTTCTAAAGACATGCAAAGCATCATGGTAGCTGTAGATATGAAACCTCTGGGGATCTACCATTTGGGCACCCCTGCATTACTCTATAAAGGCAAATTCTAATGGAACGTAAGTATCTAGCAGTAGCTAAAAATTAGGAAAATGTAGCTGAAAAACTCAAAGTAGTTCTCTGTTAAACCATCAGGCGCTCAAGGATGATTTTCCTCCAGGCCAATGTACATGCTCAACAAGCCCTGCCGTGACCGAAGTATGATTACAGTACTGGATCTGAAGCAGAGTCCAACAGTGAAGATCACAAGAGCATAATCATATACAACAAGCATGTCAAACTCACGGCCCACAATGAATATCTTTGCGGCCCAGCGAGCCGTGAGTTTGACATGCTTACTAAGGCAGAGTAGGCACCTGCTCTCCCCACATTGCAGGTGTCTAATCTGCTAAAATTTACCCGGCCAGGGAGAAGAGGTCACTGCTCACTTTGCACATGCCCTCTGTGGTGATACCAGGTGCCGAAATATGACGTCATTCCAGCACCCGACATCACTAAACTGAGGGAGCAGTGAGGAGCAGGAAGACTGAGCTCCTGAGAGAAGATCCCCACACCAGCTCCCAACGGTAGGGAGCAATAAATACAATTATGTAAAGGTGTGCAAGAATGTGTTAGCGTGTGTGTGTCTGTCAGTGTCTGTGTGCCTATTAGTGTCTTTGTGCCTGTCAGAGTGAGTGTTTGTGTGTCTGTCAGTGAGTGTGTCAGTCAGTGAGTGTCTGTCAAAGAGTGAGTGTGTGTGTCTGTCAGTGAGTGTGTCTGTCAATGAGTGTGTCTGTCAGTCAGTGATTGAGTCTCTGTCAGTGAGTGTGCTTGTCAGTGTCTGTCAGAGTGTGTCTGTCAGAGAGTGAGTGTTGGTCAGTGTTGCGATGGCCATGGCTGGACAGCGGAGATGCATAGAGGCACGCAACGCCACGTCACATTCCGACATGATGTCAACGTGCTCCACCTTCACAGGGTTTCACATGGTGCGGACGTCGCCATTGCTTGATATACAACATTTCGGCATCAAGCCTTAAAGGGACACTATAGTCACCAGAACAACAGCTTATTGAATTTGCTCTGCTGAGTAGAATCATTACCTTCAGGCTTTTTGCTGTAAACACTGTCTTTTCAGGGAAAATGCAGTGTTTACATTACAGCCTAGTGAAACTTCACTAGCCACTCCTCAGATGGCTGTTAGAGATCCTTCCTGGGTCATGGCTGCCTAAAATGCATCCAAACATTCAGTGTCTCCTCCCTCTGCATGCAGACACTGAACTTTCCTCATAGAGATTCATTGATTCAATTCATCTCTATGAGGAGATGCTGATTGGCCAGGGCTGTGTTTGAATCATGCTGGCTCTGCCCCTGATCTACCTCTTTGTCAGTCTCAGCCAATCCTATGGGGAAGCACTGTGATTGGATCAGGCCACCACTTCTGATGATGTCAGCAGACTGCTTGTTTTTTTTTTTTTTGAGGCAAACAGCATGCAGAGTTACATCTTCAGGCTTGAATACAGTAAGATTTTGCTATATTTATGGAGGCATGAGGGGCCCAGCGGGCTAGATGGTGGTGTTAACACTATAGGGTCAGGAATACATGTTTGTGTTCCTGACCCTATAGTGATCCTTTAATCGTGTATGCTTGACTCCAAAGCATTGTATATGATTTCGTTCTCCAGATCTTAGAACTCCTTATCATGTGTTTTATTTCTTTAAACCTCTGTTCAGCAATGTTTTATGGGATTTGTAGCTTAGCCCTCAGCCACAATTACAAACAATGAATGGAACTGTGAGGAAAGTTACAACTGCCCCTTTGAAACTATCTCATTTTGCTTTTAAAGCAATGCAACACTTGCATTTTGTATTCTGTGTACTAGTAACATCTTTATTTGTATCAAGGACGTTATAAGTTACAAAAGTGGGATATGCACAAACATGATTTCCTCCCATCTGCACCTGGACTAGGAATGTATGTAAATGTAAAAGCTCCGAATGATGAGGTAAGCAGGCTTTTATTCTCTTTTCACTTAAAATACAGCAAAGTATTCAAAATAATATAATAAATAATACAGTAAACTAGTATCCAATAGCCACTCAAGCAATAATGTAACCATTTATGGACCAATATTCTATACGTAAGTGTAATGTCCAACACATTTAACACCCGCAAGGCTGTATATCTCTCCAAATGCAAAATAAGCAGGGTATTTCATATTAGCACAGGATATTTAGAGACCATATTGGGTTACTAAGGGGTTTTGTGACCATTTGTATTTATGTAAAGTGCTATACGTGATTAACTCGATTTTCTTTTTGTCTACAGACATTGTTATCAAAATTGTACGGGCCTGATGGAAAATTTATGTTTACCTCACACTCCCCTGGAGAGCACACTATCTGTATCCAGTCAAATTCTACAAATCTTATATCTTTTGGTTCAAATAAGCTGGTAGGTTAATCACATGTTGCACCAGCAAATACACTTATTGAATTGCATATAAGCTGGCAATTTGTGGTGCTATAGGCTCTGCCAGCATTATGGGTGTTAGAGCATTATGAGGAAGTAGTCCACATCTGTAGGTTGCCTACCCCTGATATAGCGCATTTACTCCTCCCCATCTCTGAATGTAGGAGTGGTGTTATCCATTAGGAATTTACTATCAGGAAGGAGAGGATGAGCTGACATTTTTAGCACACTTGCAGGGTGCGGCAAGTGGCTTCAGGTAGATACATTTGTTCCTCTACAGCAAGCATGTCAAACTCGCATCCCACATGCGGCCCACAATGAATATTTTTGCAGCCCAGCAAGCCGCAAGTTTTCCATGCTTACTAAAGCAGAGTAGGCACCTGTTCTCCCCACATTGCAGATGCCTACTCTGCCAAAATTACCCGGCCGGAGAGGAGTGGTCCCTGACGGCAGCGAGGGAGCTCAGTCTTTCTGCTCTTCACTGCTCCCTCGCATGCACCCTCTGTTGTGATGCCGGGATATGACGTCATTCTGGCACCCGGCATCCCTAAACTGGGAGCAGGAAGACTGAGCTCCCGAGAGAAGATCAGAGAAAGGCCCCACTCTAGCTTCCAAAGGTAGGGAGCAATAAATAAAATGATGCGAGTGTGTGCAAGAATGTGTAAATGTGTGTGTCTGTCAACGTGTGTGTCTTTCAGAGAGTGTGTGTCTGTCTGTCAGAGAATGAGTGTGTGTCTGTCTGTCAGTGTGTGTTGGTCAGTGTTGCAATGGCCGCGGCTGGACAGTGGAGGACCTGGAGGTGCACGGAGACACGCAACACCATGTCACATTCTGACTTAACGTCAATGTGCTCCACTGTCACAGGTTTTCAAGGAGTAGCAGGAGGATCCATTTAGCACAGGATGCAGACGGCTCCATTGGGGGTATACCAGAGGCTGGACTCTGGAGTAGCATACTGGTAGCGGCAATGTGAGTGGAGCCTGCTTGTTGGCTAATATTTTTTGTTTAGTAGAGGGGGGGGGTGCTGGGATTTAGTATAGAGGGGGGGACTGGGGTTTAGTAGAGGGGGGTGTTTTTTTTTATACTGTACTTTTAAAAACAAACCCATGTTTCTATGAAAATTTAAGGTTGTTTTTTGCGGCCCACATATACTTAAACCTTGTTTATGTGGCCCGTGCTAGCCTTTGAGTTTGACATGCTTGCTCTATAGACTAGTAATTATTCATGGAGTATAAATGTGGGTGAATGAGACTTTCTGGGTTACATTTTGTTTTTCAAAGTATGTGAACATAAATATGTTTATACTCAATTCTGGAACTGAAGGGGTTAAGAAATATAGATTTACAAATAGCATGTCCATGTGCTTCAAGGCAGGTGTAGTGCTGTAAACTCATGTAGTCTCTGAGCAGATTGGTACAAGTAGAGCAACTTACACTATTTTGAATGACAGACATTCTATCTTCATTTAGCACAAACATCACATGGTAGCAACAGCACACCTTCTATTGCAGCCTTCCACTATTAAATTAAATAATGTAGCATTTATAATAGCTTACTTGTCAAAATTCGTGGTACAGACATAAAATGTTTAGACCTAATTTCATGGAAAAATATTCAAACACACATCCATTTAGAGGAAGACAATTTCACACTCCATTTTCCCAGGAGCTGTTATCCTGACTATGCTAAAGTGAATGCAATCAAGCTTCAGAAATATAAAACTGAACTAACATTGCAGAGACGTGCTGAAAAAGCACTACTGGCTTGCATTATTCTACTGCTGTGATGGAGAGGCCAGTAAAGACTGTATAGTAAGCACATGCAATAAATAGATTTACTTCAGAATTAAACAGTTCACATTGTCTGGAGTTGTTGTCTATGTATTTAAAGGGACACTATAGGCACACAGACCACTTAATCTCATTGAAGTGGTCTGGATGCAGAGTCCCTGTCCCCCTTAGTCCTGCAATGTAAATCATTGCAGTTTTATAGAAACTGCCATGTTTACATTGCAGTACTAAGACAGACACTAGAGTGGCTTCCAGGATTTTACTGAAATTTAGTTTGCCTAACTGACACTGCATCAGGACGTCCATCGTCTGTTAAAATCTTCAGAGAAAAGCATTGGGAGGGCCCAATGCGCTCACCATGCATTAGACCTCTTTCAGATGATGTTGGAGGAGGCGGAGGGACACAGTAAGAGTAACAAGGGGTTTTTTTTTTTTTTGGAAGGGGAGGGGGGCAGAGGGAACTATCGTGCTAATACAGATTTGCATTCCTAGCACTATAGTACTCCTTTAATGCAAATATTGACAGGAGAAATTTTCTGGTAAAGTCAGCATAGGTTCACATTCTAGGTGTTTTTCTAACACCCAAGAATATTATCGATTCACCCTGGTCGAACCACAATTTGAGCATTTATTTTTGCCACATACCATTCCTAGTGGAGAATTGACAAGAGACAAATATGAGGACAAAACAAAGAAACTGAAAAGTATATATAAAAAAATTCAAATCACTACAATTCGTGGTTTCTTGAGTAAAAATATAAGTTTTGCTCATATATTTGTGCTTGGATATCATCATATAATCAAAAATAATAAATATTTATTTCACTGAAAGGCAAGTGCAGATGTTTTTTATTTTGCATTTGAAAGACCTTCAGCCTTGAAGAATTTTGAATAAGCTTTTCAAACTATTTCATATTTTTGGACAAACTGTTACACTGATTTAATATTATAAAAACTATTGACATTTTTTGATCTGTTGATAGATTTTTTTTAGCTATATTATCTTTTTTGAAATTGTAATATTTTGAAAATATTTTAAAACGGTCTTCAAAAGGATTAAATTAATTGAAAAGGTTATCAAACAATATTAAAGCAAGGCCTTTTATACACACACATTACAATGTAACACAAGGTCCTCCTATTCTTGTAAATGTAAATGTTGTATTAGCTATGTGCTGCAGGAAAATATGACAATAGACACCTCTGACAATTACCTACTCTAAAAAAATAAACAATGATACCACGATCCTCGAGTTCTGAGCAAAAATCTATAACACATGCCATTTAATAGAAACATGTGACATTGACAAGATCTTTGTCAAGCAAAGGTCAAAATGTTGCTGTAAGGTCACAGGTTTGCACACATCTGGGGAATTGCAGGACCATTTCTTTCACATCTGGAGTTGCAGCCAGATTGGCACAACGCAGGTTTCTGTCCCCCTTGCTATGATGGATAGTGAGTACCTTATATTTTATTATGGGTGAAATACGAATTTGCAAAAACAAATAATTCAGCTTAAAGGGACACTCCAGGCTTCAATACAACTTTAATGCATTTGATAGGTTTTGTAATATGCTGTAATTGTTATAGTTTTTGCATTAAATAATTTAAAAAAAAAATTTAAATACTGTTTTGCAGAATGCTGCTCTATAAGCCTGCCTCTTTAGCCACACCTCTCACATCAGAAAAATACTTCCTTATAAAAAGTATGCACACAGATCAGCCACTGGCAGCACTAAGTTGTCTGAACTACAAAACAACTTGCATTAGCAGGACAGGATGCCTAGGGGGACATAAATTAAACCATGAATTATAAGAATCTCACTCAGTGCTGTTGAGACTCTGTGCATACCTTTGATAAGGCATGCAAGGGTATAGGATGGTGCAGAATTCTGCAAAACATTTTTTATTTTTTATGAGCAAAAACTATAAGATGTTGAGCATGCAAAAAAAAAATAAAAAATACAGCACCAAAATCTATCAAATGCATTAAAGTTGTATTGGTGCCCGAAGTGTCCCTTTAACTTGCACATGATGTGACAGAAATAACAAACACTGATAAATCAATAGTTCACAATGTATGAGTACATTTCTAAATCTTCATACAATTACCATTTACATTAAATTATACACTATTTGATGATAAAACTACAAGGCTTATAAATGTACAAGAATTGTGGAGAACTTATTACTTATGTTAGGGCAAAATAGCTTTACTAGAAAACAAAATTTTCCAACTAGACAGCTTTAGTGAAAAATGTGTAATCACTAGTCAGTTCTTCACGAAACCTAGTTTATTGAATACACCCAACCAGTCTTTACTATGTGACAAAATAAAATTAGACTTTGTGAATATGACAATTGTTAGTTTGAGATGTATGTACTAAGTAACCAAGATTGATTATAGCTTTCTTTTCTTTTCAGCGTGTCCACTTTGACATACAAGTAGGAGAGCATCCTGTAGATTATGCAACCATTGATACCAAGGATAAAGTAAAGCAAGTTACAAACGGTCTTGAGCATCTCATGGGGGAAGTCAATCATATAATTAAAGAACAAGAATATCAAAGAGTAAGTTTTCTCTATACTGGTTAGGACAACTTAAAGGAACTGTATGGGCACCATAACAACTTCCTCGAAATGAAGTTCTTACGGTGCCGAGAGGTCTCGGTTTCTTACCCGAATCTTACAGGTAAGATTCTTACGATCAAATAGCAGAAATGGAATAAAAGTGTGTTCAAGAAAGCACGGCTGCCATAACAAGTGAAAAACAGGCATTACACATATCCAGCTACTAAACAGGATCAGGTCACTGACTATTTATTTATACATCACAAGGGCAGGAGTTGTGACATGTCTAGCACAAACAAACAAATCGGGCAATGGCTAGAAACAATTGTGCACACAATAACTATAAAACAAAAAGAATGGAGCACGTTGTAAAAACTCAAAGTGGCACTGTCGCCTCCCCCCCCCCCCTTCACCTGAAAAATTAGTATTTCATAAAGATAGAATCATTATGAAATACTCATTGGAACTGTGCTGGAATTCCAATGCAGTCAAGAGATATACTGAGACTACTTTGTATCTGTATATTTCTTCGAAGCTACCACCATCTAGAAGTGTCACTCACCTCAGCCGTGACCATCAGTTAAGAATTGGCCCTGTCTATGGAGGATCCAGCGGTCTCCTCCATAGCCCGCAGTGACGTAGGCTCCTGGCACTTAAGTGGGACAGATTTGGGTAAGTAGAACTCACCTTAAAGGACCACTATAGTGCCAGGAAAACATACTCGTTTTCCTGGCACTATAGTGCCCTGAGGGTGCCCTCACCCTCAGGGACCCCCTCCCACCCGGCTCTGGAAAGGGGTTTAAACTTACCTTTTTCCAGCGCTGGGCGGAGAGCTCTCCTCCTTCTCTCCTCCTCCGTTCCGCCTCGTCGGCTGAATGCGCACGCGCGGCAAGAGCTGCGCGCGCATTCAGCCGGTCGCATAGGAAAGCATTTACAATGCTTTCCTATGGACGCTGGAGTGCTCTCACTGTGAAAATCACAGTGAGAAGCACGCAAGCGCCTCTAGCGGCTGTCAATGAGACAGCCGCTAGAGGCTTTGGGGGAAGGCTTAACCCATTAATAAACATAGCAGTTTCTCTGAAACTGCTATGTTTATTAAAAAATGGGTTAACCCTGGCTGGACCTGGCACCCAGACCACTTCATTAAGCTGAAGTGGTCTGGGTGCCTAGAGTGGTCCTTTAACCTGCCCCCCAGCCACCAGCGATGATGTCAACATTAGGGGTCTTTGCAAATTCTGCAAAGTCCCCAGATGCTGACAGTGCCGCTTTAATGTCCGAGCTTAAAGGATCACTATAGGGTCAGGAACACAAACATGTATTCCTGACCCTATAGTTTTAAATCCACTCCCCTGGACCCCTCATTCCTCCATAAATATAGTAAAAATCTTACTTGTATTCAAGCCTGAAGCTGCTGGCTCTGCCCTGTCTGCCTCAGAAAAACAAGCTGTCTGCTGACATCATACGAAGTGGTAGCCTAATCCAATCACAATGCTTCCCCATAGGATTGGCTTAGACTGACAAAGAGGCAGATCAGGGGCACAGCCAGCATGATTCAAACACAGCCCTGGCCAATCAGCATCTCCTCATAGAGATGAATTGAATCAATGTATCTCTATGAGGAAAGTTCAGTGTCTGCTTGCAGAGGGAGGAGACACTGAATGTTTGGATGCATTTTAGGCAGCCATGACCCAGGAAGGATCTCTAACAGCCATCTAAGGAGTGGCCAGTGAAGTTATCACTAGGCTGTAATGTAAACACTGAATTTTCTCTGAAAAGACAGTAATTACAGCAAAAAGCCTGAAGGTAATGATTCTACTCACCAGAACAAATTCAATAAGCTGTAGTTGTTCTGGTGACTATAGTGTCCCTTTAAGATGAAGGAAAATTTGGCAAAGGATGTAGCTTAAAAAAAATACAAAAAAGAAAAGCCTTCTTCCTGGTTGCTTAGTCTGGCTGGGAAGAACTGTGAGTAGCCATAAGAGAAATAAACTATGCATGACAAAACAAAATTGGAAAGACAAAGTACATGCAAATATGCAAAAATGATAGATACCTGTATTAAATCCCCTAAAACTGTCAGCAATAAAATTGTAACAGCTCTTGCTAAGTGGCTCTTGGAATTTGCCCAGTCTCCAGTGGGCTTTACAAAATTAAACAAACATTTGCGATCAGGAATGAATGCTCCATAATAACACTGGACCAACAATGAATCTATGAAACAGACAAAGATCCACACATATGAATATTCTTTTTTTTTTTTTTTACAAACAGTTATAAAAAACAATATACTATTATATTACAAATGTTAAATTTTATAAAGATTAAAGAAATTATACAAGTGCATTGACTTGATACATGCAGAAAATGTTTCCTTGCTTGGAACACAATATTTATGATTAACATATGGTAATAAAGATATATTACAGCCCTGTGCGTATGGTAATTCACACATACAATAATAATGCCTTGATCTCCAAGACAAAATATTGCAATTAATAGAGTTGTATTTTTATTATCACACAGCTACGAGAGGAACACTACAGGCAAAAGAGTGAAGACACTAACAGCAATGTGTTGTGGTGGGCGATTGCACAGACTGTGATCCTAACTTCTGTTGGAATCTGGCAAATCAAACGCTTTAAAGATTTCCTCATTGCAAAAAAAGTTGTTTAAACCGCAATGGGAAATAAAAATGTTTTTGATAAATGTGTATATTTAAAGAACAGAAACAAACATTTTCACATGTGACACTTGCAACTCGCCCATCCAGTATTTTCATTTCCTACCTAAAAAAAATAAATCTTATGTGTGAATTATATTCAGTCTTAAGCTGTCTCTTTTTTTAAATTTTCCATTGGACTCTACCACCTAACAAGGTATGTTTTTATGATGCATCTACAACTCTTCATTAGTCCCTAGCCTTATCTTATAGTTAGGATAGCCTTATGCATGGGATAGGCATAAGGCTATCCTAACTATAAGATAAGGCTAGGGACTAATGAAAGTTTTTAGAAAATTGGGCAGACTAGATGGGCCGAATGGTTCTTATCTGCCGTCACATTCTATGTTTCTATGTTTCTATGTTTCCACAAAAACATATTATTGGCTTTACTATTAGAGGAACTGTATAGATAAAAAAAAAAATATATATATATATATATATATATATATATATCCTCCCTCACAACAGCAAACCTACTGTCACTAAACAGTGTAAAAATTTGCTTTAGAAGTACCTTTTTTAAATCTTTAATTTTATCAGATTTTCTGCTCCTCCTCTGATTGCATGTAATTTCTCCCTTTGACTTTTCCCTGCTTCCTGTTTTTCAGCTGGACCATCCACCAATGGCCAAGCTCCATTGATTCTTTATGAGACTTAGTAATGACACGCCTATATAGGCATGCTGGAGCTTCTTGATGCAATTTGCACAATACCTGCCCAAGAAGTACTCAACCTAAATTACACTACAAATATAGCATTAAGAGACTAGAACTTTCATACCACATGCACTACCCACTGTTAACCCCTTCCCCTTTTAGCTCCTGTTAATCAACCTTCATACCCACTCTTAACCTCTTCCTTCCCAATCCTAGAGGGAGTGGGCTATAGTGACACAAAAGGTAAGGGTAGAAAAGTAGGTTACTAGGTTAGTATTCACTGAGGGCTTAGTGTTTTGATGACAGTTGCAGGAGAGGAATCAGGGTGCGGGGAGGTTCACAGTTTAATTGATATGTCCTCCTGAAGAAGCATGTTTTCAAATATTTTTTTGAAGGAGTGGAGAGTAGGTGAAAGTCTAATAGACAGGGGAAGATCGTTCCATAGGAATGGCGCAGCACCAGAAAAGTCTTGAAGGCAAGCATCAGAGGTTGGAGTACGAACAGAAGTTAGACGTAGGTCTTCAGCAGAGTGTAGGGGCCTAGATGGGACATATTTGTGTATTAGTGAAGATAGGCAGGTAGGAGCAGCATTGTGTAGAGATTTGTAAGCAAGTAGCAGGATCTTAAATTGAGCCCTATATCTAACGGGTAGCCAATGTAGGGACTGATGGAGGGTGGAGACGTGTGAGGTGCAGGCAGACAGGAATATAAGCCTCGCCGCTGCATTCATTATAGACTGTAATGGGACAAGCTTGGAACACGTAAGAGCACGGAGAAGCGAATTACAGTCAAGGTGAGAGAGGACAGTGGCATGGCGTTAAATAGGGGCAGATGTGTGCTATGTTTTTGAGATGGAATCGGCAGGATTTGGCAATTGATTGGACAGGAAGGGTGAAGGAGTGGTCGGAGTCAAAGAGAACACCTAGGCAGCGAGGTAGAGCTGGTGGTGGCACCACTGACTTGGAGGTAAACAGACAAGGGAGTAGCAACACTTGAGGAAGGGAAGACCAGTTCTGTTTTGGACAGGTTAAGTTTAAGGAAATGAGCAGCCATCCAGTTGGAAATAGCAGAGAGGCAGTCAGAGATATGAGTCAAGAGAGATGGTGAGAAATCAGGGGAGGACAGATATATTTGCGTGTCATACGCATGGAAATGATACTGGAAGCCGAAGGAGCTGATGAGTTTACCAAGGGGACCAGTATAGATTGAGAACAATAGGGGACCAAGAACAGACTCTTTGGGAACACAAAAAGAGAGGGATTGGGGAGAAGAGGCCGAGCCAGAGAAAGAAACACTGAAAGAGCGCTGGGAGAGGTAGGATCCATCCCTCTGGTTACCTCTTCCCTGTTAGTCCCTATTTCCCCCCCATGCCTCTGATAACCCCATGCCAGGAATATATAGAGACCCATCACACAGAGTGTAATAGAATAGATAACATAAACCGGACCTTAGGAATGCACAATAAATATCAAACTGAACCACAACAGGGCAATGATTTATGCCCTAAGAGCCTTTTGCTGCACAGCCTGGGTATCAAAACAAGGTACCATAAGACCCCTTCTCTGACAGCCCCTGTTATCACTGTAAAATATATATTTATTGTACAAAATACGGCAGTATTGAGTACAAAGTACACCATTAGAATGAGATAAATGTTGCCTGTCAGCAAGGAAGGGGTTACCAGCGCGATAGGTGGATAACAGGGACTGGCAGGGAAGGGGTAAACAGTGGGTAGTGAGGTTGGCCTGCGATGCCTGGAGGGTAAGGGGTTAACAGTGGTTAGTGAGTTTGGCTGGCAGGGGCTTGAGGGGAGTTTATTACTTGCATTACAGGAAAGGAGGGAGAGGAGCACATATGGGGTAGCTGGAACAGGGGGGAATATCAAAGAAAGGAGGAAGGGAAGGAGAACAGAATAAGGCTACATATGAGCTATGAAATAAAAAGGAACTAAAGAAAACAGAAGTGAAGGCAAAAGAGTAACATAAACTTTATTACACAATGTGCTTAGCTCTAGCCAGTACTGTGAGCATTCCACACTACAGAAGACATGTCTCAATTTTCATAGGCTGAAAAAGGTATGTTTCTTTCAAAGACTGGGATTAAGGAACCTGTTGATATTTGAGAGGAGGTTGGCTGACAGTGCTGAAATCAGCAAAACATTTTACAGAACTGCAGGAAAATTACACAGAATAAACAAAAAATAAACTAACCACAGGTATTTGAGAGTATTAGCTTTGATTTAAGCTTAACTTATTAAGCTGCCTGGAGTGTCCCTTTAAATTGATATTATAGACACCAACACAACTTTAGCTTAATGAAGCAGCTAAGGTGTATAGATCATGGCCCTGCAGTCACATTGCTTAATTCTCCGCCATTTAAGAGTCAAATCACTATGTTTATGCAGCCCTAGCCACACCTCCCTGCGTGTGACTTGCACAGGCTAAACACTTCTTGTAAAGAGATCTTGTATTTAAACTTCCTTTATTCCACATTAAGTTTAATCTAGAATGTTTTTTCTCCTGCACTGTTACTTTTAATTCATTATCAAAAAACTTTTAACAACAAAATGTTATACAACAGCAAGCGTCCTTCTCGCTTAAGGTTATATATATATATATATATATATATATATATATATATATATATAGACTTGATATATATACAGTTGCAAGAAAACGTATGTGAACCCTTTGGAATGATATGGATTTCTGCACAAATTGGTCATAAAATGTGATCTGATCATCATCTAAGTCACAACAACAGACAATCACAGTCTGCTTAAACTAATAACACACAAAGAATGAAATGTTGCCATGTTTTTATTGAACACACCATGTAAACATTCACAGGGCAGGTGGAAAAAGTATGTGAACCCTTGGATTTAATAACTGGTTGAACCTCCTTTGGCAGCAATAACTTCAACCAAACATTTCCTGTAGTTGCAGATCAGACGTGCACAACGGTCAGGAGTAATTCTTGACCATTCCTCTTTACAGAACTGTTTCAGTTCAGCAATATTCTTGGGATGTCTGGTGTGAATCGCTTTCTTGAGGTCATGCCACAGCATCTCAATCGGGTTGAGGTCAGGACTCTGACTGGGCCACTTCAGAAGGTGTATTTTCTTCTGTTTAAGCCATTCTGTTTATTTACTTCTATGCTATGGGTCATTGTCCTGTTGCAACACCCATCTTCTGTTGAGCTTCAGCTGGTAGACAGATGGCCTTAAGTTCTCCTGCAAAATGTCTTTATGTTTAGTGAATGTAGTGCAGTGGGATTGTATAAGGGCTGTGAGGGGACAGTAGTTTTTTAAATATTTTTATAAATTTAGTTTTTGTCCCCCTCCCTGCCTCTTACCTGTTTCAGGGTGGGGGGCACACAGGATTCCCTGGTGGTCCGGTGGCACAGCATACGGTGTCCTTTGAAGAAGGGACCCAGGAGTGTAATATTGCACCTCCTGTAGCATCAGGTCATCTCTTCTCGCGAACTGTGTGAGCGTTGCCGCAGGTTGCCATGGCAACACTTACACACTCACAATGAGGGGATGAGAGGGCGAGAGACACACATTCACACTGAGAGGATGGGAGAGAGAGAGAGACAAACACTCACACTGAGGGGATGGGAGAGAGAGACACACACACCGAGGGGATGGGAGAGAGACACACTCACACCAAGGGGATGGGAGAGAGACACACTCACACCAAGGGGATGGGAGAGAGAGACCCACTCACACTGAAGGGATGGGGGAGAGAGACCAACTCACACTGAAGGGATGGGAGAGAGAGACCCACTCACACCGAGGGCATGGGAGAGAGAGACCCACTCACACCGAGGGGATGGGAGAGAGACACACTGAGGGGATGGTAGACCCACTCACACCGAGAGGGTGGGAGAGAGACATACTGAGGGGATGGGAGAGAGACATACTGAGGGGATGGGATAGAGACATACTGAGGGGATGGGAGAGAGACACACTGAGGGGATGGGAGAGAGACATAATGAGGGGATGGGAGAGAGTTATACTGAGGGGATGGGAGAGAGACATACTGAGGGGATGGGAGAGAGACACACTGAGGGGATTGGAGAGAGACACACTGAGGGGATGGGAGAGAGACACATTGAGGGGATGGGAGAGAGACATACTGAGGGGATGGGAGAGAGACACACTGAGGGGATGGGAGAGAGACACATTGAGGGGATGGGAGAGAGACATACTGAGGGGATGGGAGAGAGACATACTGAGGGGATGGGATAGAGTTATACTGAGGGGATGGGAGAGAGACATACTGAGGGGATGGGATAGAGACACATTGAGGGGATGGGAGAGAGACACATTGAGGGGATGGGAGAGAGAGACATACTGAGGGGATGGGATAGAGTTATACTGAGGGGATGGGAGAGAGACACACTGAGGGGATGGGAGAGAGACACATTGAGGGGATG